TTAGGACTTGGTGGCAGCGAGTTAGAACTTGGTGGGAGTGAGTTAGGGCTTGGTGGCAGAGAGTTAGGGCTTGGTGGCAGTGAGTTAGGGCTTGGTGGCAGTGAGTTAGAACTTGGTGGGAGTGAGTTAGGGCTTGGTGAGCGTGAGTTAGGACTTGGTGGCAGTGAGTTAGGACTTGGTGGCAGTGAGTTAGGGCTTGGTGGCAGTGAGTTAGGATCTGGTTGCAGTGAGTTAGGACTTGGTGGCAGTGAGTTGGAGCTTGGTGGCAGTGAGTTAAGACTTGATGGCAGTGAGTTAGGACTTGGTGGCAGTGAGTTAGGACTTTGTGGCAGTGAGCTAGGATCTGATGGCAGTAAGTTAGGACTTGGTGGCAGTGAGCTAGGATCTGATGGCAGTAAGTTAGTACTTGGTGGCAGTGAGTTAGGGCTTGGTGGCAGTGAGTTAGGACTTAATGGCGGTGAGTTAGGATCTAGTGGCAGTGAGTTAGGACTTGGTGGCAGTGAGTTAGGGCTTATTGGCAGTGAGTTAGGATCTGGTGGCAGTGAGTTAGGACTTGGTGGCTTGAGTTAGGACTTGGTGGCAGTGAGTTAGGACTTGGTGGCAGTGAGTTAGGACTTGGTGGCAGTGAGTTAGGACTTGGTGGCAGTGAGTTTTGGCTTTGGTGACTTGACTTTGGACTTAGTGGCAGTGAGTTAGGAAGCTTGGCTAACAAATAAGTTCAAAGAAAATAAAGAACAAACAGAGAACACACAAGATATGTATAAAAGAACCCCCCCCCCCATCCCCCCTTTACATATTGTCTAGTTATGTTTGTTCATTCGACGGATCAACATCATGCCACGCAGGTGTAACCCATAAGTGCTCGGTTCTACTTTCAACTCAAGCCTGAGTCTGAAAAATCTCAGCTCAGTGCATGAACACTGTTGCACCGGCTAGGAACCTGAATACTTTGGGTAAATTTTTTTACTCAAAATTTTGCCCGGGCTGCGCTGTTAGGCTACTCTTTTTAACAATGGATTTTTTACGTGCACAAAAATACACACGGGCGTCTGATTTTACTACCCAGAGACCAGGGGAAATTACTAAAGTCCACATTACAAAAATCCCAGCCTTCACCAGGGCTTGAACCTGGGACCTCTAGCTCTTGAGGCAGTCACCACACCTCAAGACAACTCAGCACCCTAATTGTCCAGTTAAAATTGGGCGGTGGAATGAAGACCAAATGCTCCCATAAAAACAAACTAAGGAAGCATTGGCCAGGGGCATCATCCTCATCCCCCTCCTTCCCCTAACCACATCCCCCCTCCCTCCCCCCCACCACATCCTCCTCCCCACCTAGGCAAAAATTGAAGGCTCAGATCTCTTCAGCCCCACTCCACCCCCTTTTTTCCCCCACAAATTAGTTAAGAAAAAGTTAGGGGATCTTAAAACCACACCCTCTTCAACACTTTACACATTTTCTAGGTTAATATCATGGCTGTATTGGTAAAAACATTTTAAATTATTTTTTCTTAAACATGATCTAGTCCAGGAATTCAAACTAAACAGTGCCTAATGGCTACAATATTAATACATCTTGTCATCTGAGCTCAACAGTTTTGATTCAAATACACAACTACTATAAAAATCACATTTATTCAGAAGAATACAATGACAGAAAATATAAGACACAATGAAATAAACTTATAATGAAAAATATATAAGGGTTAAAGTTGAGATGATCGACTTTACTGCACTGGATTTGAAACGATGTGGCTTAGTATCTCTCTGCCCACAGCAACACATAAAACACCCCACATAGCTTCAGGATCTCAACCAAATGATGCAGTCTGTTCAAGGAACCAACAACTTTCAGATATCGATGGAAGCTGCCTAACTCTTTCAGTCCCAGGCTGTTGTTTTTCAGAACTCTTTCTGCCAAAGAATGTGAACTTGACAGCAACAGTCTTTGGGTTGCAGTGAGTTAAAATAATACGAGGGGAAGTAATTAAGTAAAGGCAACTGTATTAAAAACTTTTTTTAACAAGCGGCAAGAACAAAACTGTTCTGTGTTCTACTTCTCGACATAGTCTCCCTGCTTTGCAGCACATGTAGTCGACCAATCCAAAAGATTGTGGATGCCCCCCAGGTGAAAGCTTTTGGGTGTGGCCAGTAACCAAATTTGCACAACTGATATCACCTCAATGTCATCTGCAAATCTCTGACCTTGCAAATGTTCTTTAAATGGGCTAAACAAATGAAAGTCTGAGCTATATGCTGGATGTTTCAATATTGCAAACTGCAGACTCTGCAGTATCTTCACTGTAAGCCCAGCCATGTTATGGTGGGCCGACACAAAAAACTAATAATACTTTGATGCTCTTCCACTGTGCATGTTAACAGTGCTGTGGCCATCTTGTAAAAGCTGTTGCACATATGCATACTGCTAAATCGTCACCTTAAAAACTTTAGGTTATTGCAAAGAGGCCATTCTGTGTACCGAAATAATATTTGTTATATTTTTTCTTTTGCATACTATTCCATAAAGACTAGGATACTATTGTCTTTATTTAATGACTTCCTCTCATATAGCTGTAAGACAGAGGATTTTAAAGTAACAACTTGCAAAGACCTGTTTAATACTATAGATGTTTGGACAGGAGTCTGGAGCACTCAATAAATGTATGGTGAGTGGCCTGGTACCGAAAAAGTCAACCACTTACTTATGGCCTCCTCTCTCACATGAAGTAAACAGACACACAATAAGAACTATGTTTTTCTATGTCTGGCACTGACAGCACAAAGCTGGTATGAATAGCCCATTTATCAACTGCTGCACTTTTTGATATTTTGATGCCTCAAAACTGGCACTATTTGGTAATTATGGTTGCTGCAAGATCACACACAATTAAAAATAACAAGCAACTTAATCACTTAGCTATAGCCCTCACATGCAGTGATCAAGCCGTAAGCCTCACGCTCTGAAGGTAAGGTCATGGGTTTGCTTCACAGCCGTGCCCTTCATGAATACATTTTTTACGAAGGTCCCTGGAGTTACGGAGTTCGGGCTCTGCATGGCATTCTCGACAGGCAGCTAGCCATTTTGTGGACAGAGACTGAGCCATATGGGATAAAACCCAGTGCATTGAAGTCAACCCTCTTGACTTTAACCTTCAGACATACAATGAGAACATCAAACAATAAAAACAATCAGATATGAAGCCAAGTTAAGCCTACAAGTAAGTTTAAAAAAAAAAATTACAGCAGTACTTACCGCTGAAAAAATATAAATACAATAACATAAATAAAGATTTCATAAACACCACAAAAATACTTTTTATAGCTCAAATAATATTCCTAATAAATACTATGAACATTATAACAACAACCATTTATTTGTTTACAAAAAGCAGAGATGGCATTGTCTGATTCTTCTATGTCTCAGATCTGTTGATAGGAGGGTGAAGGATTCTATAGGCTGAAGACGCACTCAAATACAATGAAACGATTCGACAAAAGTCTTTATCAACGGAGTACTAAATATAGCACAAGCTGTGACAGGAAAACTAGAAAACCGTAGAAAACACAAGTTAACAGAGCTTCTAAATTAAAGTTAAACCAAGAAGGGGGGGGGGGGGGGTGGGGGGGGGGGGGGGGGGGGAGGGGATATGAAAGACTGTAATAAGAAATAAAAAAAGTAAGACGGTGTATGTAAAAAGAGGGGGAGAAATTTGACTAAGTTAAATATATGAATAAGTTGATAAATTAAATGATAAATTAAATTAAACAAAGCTGTGTTGAATATTGATCCCTCCAGGACTGTGAATGACAAAACTCAAAACTATGAATGAAACAATTTTTCAAGGATTAGCGGCTGATTTGATCACCGGAGTAAGATTTAATAGCAGTGACTGAGATATCACTTTTGCCTTAGTGGCAGAACTGTTGAAATGGGGGCAGACAGGTTTAACAGCCTTATTATGAATATCCACAAGATGTTCACAGAAGGGTCTTGCTAGCTTCCTTCAGATTTTCCCAATTTATGCCTTTTTTACATTTATTTGCAAATGATGGCACAAATTAGGTTACGCGATTCACAAGTAAATGCTTCTCTGATGTGAAATAAACCCTTCAGGTAGCAGACTGAATGGATTCGGATCACGAAAGGACATATTTTACATCTTGTCCAGGAGCATTTGGAAGTACCGTAAGGAAGTGCTGTGTGGATTAGAGGTAGTCTACTTCTGACAAGTATGTTCTTTAGATTACGGTCTCACTTGTAGACTACTCTGGGGTTGTCGCTGAAGATCTTGCTGGTGTCGGGATCAGAGCGAAGAGTATTAAGGTGACGATGGAAGATTCTAGAAACAGCCAAATTATTAGAATAATATGTTAAGACTAATTTAGGTCTATTAGGAGCAGGTTTAGAATTAGTGGGCAATGCTTCTCTCTGAGTGATGGATTGTACTTCTTTAAGAGCCTCTATGAGAATGTGTTCAGGGTAAAAGTGGGCACAGAAAAAATCCAGAAACTCTCCTGCCTTCCTAAAAAAAATAGAAGTCATTAGCTACATAGTCTAAGCATTTGAGAAATTAGCTTTGAATTTTTGCAAGGGAATTGGTGAGAGGATGTATAGAGAAGATAGTTAGGAGAATCAGTAGGTTGATAATAGGTACAGCTGGTTAAGAAAGGAAAGTCAATGATAACCTTAATGTCTGAGAAATTCACGGAAGTGATGGAAATCAAAGAGGTGAACTGAATAGCAGCATTAAAAATGGTGATGAAATTAATAGAATTAGTCGAGTTCATCTCTAGACATTTTGGTGATACCAATGCCATCATTAATGTACCTCCTATACACTTCAGGGAACTCTCCTGTGTATGGAGACCAAACCTGGTGCTCAGGAGAACTCATAAAAAGATCTGAATAACTGGGACCCATTGTGGTATCCATCGCGACACCACGATTTAGTCAAAATATTTGTGGTTAAACTCAGAAGAATTGAGAGTTAGTACTGTCTTTAAATATTGAGCTGTCCATGCTCAGCAAGGACATAAGGCAACTCATTTCTGTTCAAACTCTTTCGGATGCTGACTTTGCGACTGGCCATGGCTTTCTGGTAAATCTTGTTTTTGTTTCGTAAATTCCTTAGTTCTTCTCGTTCCTTTTCCTGAAATCAGAACAAGTGGCAGAATAAATAAAACGTCAGTCTGAAGAAAATGTATGCCTTTTGGTTTTTCTCTTTCAGTTCCCCTCCATCGGGATTGCAGTTTGTGGGAATAACATCTCAAGGAGGAGAATCTAACAGGTACAAATGCCAGAAAGCCTGTTAAACCATGTAGTCATATATAATAGTTATAGTGGGACCCCACAAAATGGTTGCAAAGTACTTGTAGTCCAGTGTGGGTGAGTCAGTGTGTGAGATGCATGCTAGATTTATTATCATGTAAATGGTACATGTAGCTTCTTGACAAATATTGTCTTTGGGGTGTCTTTTTTCCCCCTTTTCTTTAAATACTCCATGTTGATTGTTTTCAGATGAATGTTGAATTAAGAATCACATCATAGCACCCGGGACACTTCCATAAGTGCTCCGTCGCTATCTTCAGCAGCAAGCGAAGAGTTCCAATTCTGATAGTACCAGTAACTGCTTGATTGTATATCTGTCTGGCCTTTACCTTGAGTGCCAAGCGTCAGCACGATCCCTTTACAACTCCTTGCAGCGCCGTTCTCCTTAGACTGTAATGATCTATCTGTGCCCCTGCACTGTTCACTCACTCCCAAAGGGCCCTCACAATATCTTGCTTGTCATACATCAATTTACCACTAAGTGATGCAGAGCCAGCCAGTATATCTGCCTGCTCATTTCCCAACAAACCGACATAACCTGGAGAAAATATCCAAAGGATGCTAACTACCCAGTTTTCAGATGAGAAGGCCACAGACATCTGTGAAGGCTGCAGTGCAATGTATGTTTTCCAGTATTTCATACAGTTTCATGTCTTCCATAATACCAATACCTACACCTGAGATCTTTCCACCACACGTAAACAGAATGTCTGCAGCACATATTCAGTAGTTTGTGGTGCCTATCCACATGGGCAAAGATGAGTTGAGTTGAGTCAAGAATTGACATCACAGCACTCTTTGCATTCCTATGCATGCTCTATCCTTATCTTCAGCAGCCAGCACAGAGTTCCAATACTAATGGTACCGGTCACAATCTGGTTATATGTCCATCTTGCTTTTCCCCTGAGTGTAGTGATCTGGCCAGACCCTCTGGTTACACACAGATGCCTCATTCTCTCCAGGCCATAATAATCTTTTTTCTCTACTGATTTTGTTGCTTGGGCAAAGATCTAAGTCCGTAATCTTGAATTTTCTGTAAATATGGGTGTTGAGTCTATTGTGGCCAGGTCATAGTCTAAATACAATAGTCTGTTTTTTTTTAAAGGAGACTGACTGTGTATCTGGAATTGTATTCTAGGTGGGAAGTATCTTTAGGCTGTAAAGTTTTAACTCTTTGAGTCCCAAGGAAAGCACCATACATTTATAGGTTCTGACCTAGAGGCCCGATAAACGCAAGATGTGCCGATTTTAGGTCTCTCTTGACTACCCCTTGGGCCTCTGATGCTAAACCCCCTGGGACTCAAAGTTAAACCATAAATTGTATGCCATCAATAGACCCGTTTGGAAATTTATTTGTAAACAATGAACCACTAGCAAACTGAAGAGCCAGGCAGTTTCTGCTTGGTAGCCTATATATGGGATGCCAACTCAATATACTAAATAATTATAAATGAGCGTACCGTTTGATACCAGCGAATCATAAGAGCCCGTTCATTTTCCCCAAAGGGCACAGAATATTTAATCATTTGCTCGCGTCGACACTGCTTTGTCACTGTTTGTTCTACAACAAGAACAATGTTCGCCCACTGAATGAGAGAAAAGTAAATTATCAATCAATGATATGTCACCAATCAAAGGTAAGTCATCAATCAAAGGTATGTCACCAATCAAAGGTATGTCACCAATCAAAGGTATGTCACCAATCAAAGGTATGTCACCAATCGAAAGTATGTCACCAAACAAATGTATATCATCAATCAAAGGTATTCCATCAATTAAAGGTGTGTCACTAAACAAAGGAATGTCATCAAACTAAGGTTTGTCACCAAAGAAAGGTATGTCACCAAACAAAGGTACGTCATTAATCAAAGGTATGTCATCAATCGTACGTATGTCATCAAACAAAGTGTGTCACTAAACAAAGATATGTCATCAACCAAAGGTAAGTCATCAATCAAAGGTATGTCATCAATCGAAAGTATGTCACCAAACAAATGTATATCATTAATCAAAGGTATGTCATCAATCAAAGGTGTGTCACTAAACAAAGGAATGTCATCAAACTAAGGTTTGTCACCAAAGAAAGGTATGTCACTAAACAAAGGTATGTCATTAATCAAAGGTATGTCATCAATCAAACGTATGTCATCAAACAAAGGTGTGTCACTAAACAAAGATATGTCATCAACCAAAGGTAAGTCATCAATCAAAGGTATTTCATCAATCGAAAGTATGTCACCAAACAAATGTATATCATCAATCAAAGGTATGCCATCAATCAAAGGTGTGTCACTAAACAAAGGAATGTCATCAAACTAAGGTTTGTCACCAAAGAAAGGTATGTCACCAAACAAAGGTATGTCATTAATCAAAGGTATGTCATCAATCGAACGTATGTCATCAAACAAAGATGTGTCACTAAACAAAGATATGTCATCAACCAAAGGTAAGTCATCAATCAAAGGTATGTCATCAATCAAAAGTATGTCACCAAACAAATGTATATCATCAATCAAAGGTATGCCATCAATCAAAGGTGTGTCACCAAACAAAGGAATGTCATCAAACTAAGGTAAGTCACCAAAGAAAGGTATGTCAGCAAAGAAAGGTATGTCATGAAGGGAAATATCATGAAACTCAGGTATATCGCCAAACTATGCATTCACAAACATATTTCATCTTCTTCTTAGCATTCATCGGCTGTAGACTCTGACGAAAAATTCTGGTTGCTCGTCCACTTCTGGACTTAAGTTTTGTTCCACAATTTGAGTTTTGCGTGTACATCCATTTTACAGATCTGGCTTATTTGTATGCAGAGTGTTGGCACCTTTCCTAAGGCAGATGCACTCCAACTCAGAAGGAAATCCCTAATTAGTCGACTCTCATAACATGCTTGTTAGAGAGAGACGGTGGATCTAATCCCCCCACCCCCAAGAGCCAGCACAGAGAAAACACACACACACATGCATGCACGCACACACATAGGAAAAGATATACTTAAGGTAGAAATAGAAGATACTGTATAGTTTCACCAGTGTGAAGAATTATGTCAACACATTTCACCCACATAAGTTAGCAAGGCACCCACACTCACCCATGAATCCAAGCACATGTGTACTAATGTACATTCACCCACTTACATGCATGTAAGTACACATGCGTGCACACCCAAACACACAGAGAGATGTCTAATAATTAAATCACCGGTTAAACAATAACATAAACCATAGCAGCTGACCTGTCTGAACCATTCCTTCTGTGTGTTGGTGACAAGCTCGTACGTCCGGCCCATCATTGCAATCAACATATTCACAAGCAGCAGGGTCACCAGAATCATATACACAATGAATACAATCTAGAAACACAGACAAGCTGTCAGTAAGCTGTAAACTAATGAAAACTAACCAATGCAGTAATAGCAGATTTTCATACAGATAAACTAGAGACATGTCGAAATTAACACACTTTTTATGGCAATATTTAAATACTAAAATACAGCAGAAAATTATCTGGAACCTATTTATCAAAGACAGCACAGTAACTGGAGCATATTTTTCAATTACAGAATAGTAACTAGGATTTATTTCTCAAAGACAGTACAGTATTTGGAATCTATTTCTTAATGACAGCACAGTTAGTTAGTTGTGTATCCTTTACAGGACATTGCAGAACCAACCCCTGCATTTTTTTGGCTGCTGTGGTTTTCTAGGCAAATTCACATAAGTAGTTTGCCACTGCTTTCTGGACGGTCGGCTCTTGATACCACGGACAAAACCGGTGCAAGGCGCAAGGCCTGCAGCTGAGATCTAACCCGGCACTCCAGCATTACAAACAAAGACTGCATGGTAACTGGAGCATATTTCTTAAAGACAGCATGATTACAGGATCATATTTCTCAAATGCAGGACAGTCAATAGGGTCTATTTATGTTCTTGACCCAGAAGCCACTGCAACTGTATTTACTTCTTCTGAGGTGAAGAATGGTGATTTGTCCTTTTTGGTAAAAAACCTATGTACTACTATCTTATCAAGATAAGTGTACACAATGTACAAGTTTCTTACCATGAATAACAACTATATTCAGCAAGTGAACACTAGAATGCCCAAACTTGAATATTTAAAATATGTCAATCTATACTGTCAGATATTTAGCACAATACTTAACAGATTTAACATTCCAGCACAACAAGATATAATGGTACATTTAAACAGATACAGCACTTTGCTGAAACATATTTCCCATTTCTTGAGCTTCAACACTATAACACTATAATTTGTATCTTACTACATAATGTTCAATTTTCTACCTTCTAGTAGATAATGTTCAATTTTCTACCGTCTAGTAGATAATGTTCAATTTTCTACCGTCTAGTAGATAATGTTCAATTTTCTACCGTCTAGTAGATAATGTTCAATTTTCTACCGTCTAGTAGATAATGTTCAATTTTCTACCGTCTAGTAGATAATGTTAAATTTTCTACCGTCTAGTAGATAATGTTCAATTTTCTACCGTCTAGTAGATAATGTTCAATTTTCTACCGTCTAGTAGATAATGTTCAATTTTCTACCGTCTAGTAGATAATGTTCAATTTTCTACCGTCTAGTAGATAATGTTCAATTTTCTACCGTCTAGTAGATAATGTTCAATTTTCTACCGTCTAGTAGATAATGTTCAATTTTCTACCGTCTAGTAGATAATGTTCAATTTTCTACCGTCTAGTAGATAATGTTCAATTTTCTACCGTCTAGTAGATAATGTTCAATTTTCTACTAGACGGTAGAAAATTGAACATTATGTAGTAAGATACAAATTATTCTTTATGCCGTAAGACAACATAACATATTAAAATATGTAACAGCAGTAGTTTTTCTATTCATCCCAAATGGTTATAAATTGAATTTATAGTGTCAGCTGCATTTTAAAAGTATATTTTGTATGCTTAATATACAGTAAAATCAATTCTTTAAGTCATTTACGTAATTTACACAATGTTTGTTTATTAAAAGTATTATTCTCTACACACCTTCTGTGTGATATTAGGGAGGTGTACTATATAAAAATTATTTTGATAACATTCATTACTCTGTGCTTTAAAACAGCAGATTCATTACTACTGAATCTATTGTAACACTATCCTGAAGTAGGTTTCAATTAGCATAATTGCAAAATAATTTCTTTTTCCAACTGAGTAAAATGATTTTACTAGTGTAAAAAAGCAACACTATTTAACAACATATTTAATGTCCTAAGGAAACTGGTGGCACAGCGGCTCCATGCTCAGCTTCTGGCATGAAAGTCTTGGGTTCCAGTCCATATCGAATTAGATTTTTCTTTAAAAATGACCTTGGCTCCCAGTTGGTCTACACAAATTTAAGTCTAGCATCATATGCCTCATGTGTCATACACTGGTATAAAAAAGGTCCTTACTGTTACTTACTTTACTTGATACAATGCAGAACCTGATAAGGAGAGCTCACAGAGGACCCAAGAAATGGTTCTCTTATCTGGATAAGAATTAAAGCCAGAAAAATTGCAGGAGATGAAGAAATTGTTCTTCACAACAGAAATTCCCCACATCCAAGTTCACCTTAAGTGGTCTGCACTGTATTCTAAAAAAAATGTCTTTAAAATTGTATTATTAAATACTATATATATATATTCTTCTTCTTCAGCATTCTGAGCACTTTAGGTTCACTGCTGCAGATATCACTCGCCTCCACTTGTCTCTCTGGTTGGTCTCCTCTTTTCTGCTTGTAACACCAAGTGTTTGCAGGTCTCTCTGGACATTGTCTTCTTAGTCTGTCTCGTGGTCTATGACCATTCATCTCCCTTGTGTATACAGTTTTAACCTCTCTGTCATCTGAGAGTTTTTCAATATTCCCCAGCCATTTCAGCCTATTAGCTCTCATGATGCCATTGATCAATAATGCTTTAAACAGATCATTAATTTCGTTGTTGCTTCTCATTCTCCCTTCCCCGCTGGTTACATATTTGATAGGTCCAAAGATTTGTCATAATACTCTGTTTTCAAAAACCTGTAATAAGTCTTCGTCTCTTTTAGCTGTGCCCCAAGTTTTAGAGACATATAAAACAACTGATATTGTCAGTGATTTATACATTTTGATCTTGGTGTTGCGAGACAGGCACTTTTTTAGGAGATGTGAAGGGCATAGTATACTTTATTTCCAGATTGCATTCTAGATTATATTTCTTCTCTCAGCATGTTGGAGCAGCTGAAGTTTGCACCCAAGAATTTATATGTTTCCATTCGTTTTATTTTCATATTATCAACTTTTATATGGCCAGATGTATATATCCTTTCCCTGTCTTGTTATTATCATGTATTCTGTCTTACCTTGATTGATAACTAGTCTCATTTTGTGAGCTGCTTCATTTAAGAGAGTCAATGTTTTTATAATTTTTCTCCAGGGCCAAGTTGAACAGAAGTGGGGACAGAGCATCACCTTGCTTTAAACCAGATATTATTTGAAAAGGGTCTGATTTTCTGCCTTTATATATTACTACATTACAAGTGTCGTCCATACATAGTTTGGTCATGGAAATACTTTGTATATCTCTTTCAGGCCAAAAGGTCATAGCTAATGCCCACATGAAGAAGTAACTAATGACAGCAGCAAACTCATGGGTACATTACATCCCCAGGAGCTAAATACCCAACCCTAGCAGGAGACGTGTATTTTTGGGTCTTTTATTATGCCGTGTCCAAACATAAAATGTACAAGTATACAAGTATTTACAGTCACACATGATGCGTTGTTTGGGACTGAATGAGATATACATAGCTAAATTCCTTGGGATGAAGGGAGTTCAAGTAATAACAGCTTGTAATTTAAAGAGTTGACTGTTATGCTACCACAGTACAACACCGCACATGCAACTACTGTTTGACACAGATTAGACAACATAATGAAATTCACAAAAATGACAATAAATAACAATACATTCAACTATATATTGGGGAAAGAAATTATGGCATATATTTGTAAAGCAAGAACACATAACCATGATAAAAAAACTACTATTACAACACACACATATGGCAAATAAAAATGTAACTCTTTCAGGGGCAAACAACTAACCATAACCCCCCCCCCCCCCCCCCCCCCCCCCCCAACAAGCAAGTAAATCATACAAGTTTTTTAATTAGAGTGATTCCTTCTAAGTGCATATGGTGCATCTGACTTAGATGCGAGGAATCAATATTCCACTTAGAAATAAGCCAGATCTATAAAATGGATGTGCACAGTAAAACTCAAGTTCCAGAACAAGGCTAAGCAGACGAACAACCAGCTCAGCTCTTTCATTACAATTTACTCGTGTGTCCCCAGGTGTGTAGATCCAGGGGATGGAGGTTAAATGTGAATATTTAGGATGTATGACGGCTATCATTGTGAACACGATCTGTATTTTCGGGGTCCCTTGCATGGGTTCTAGGACCCTGTTATCGGGGAAAAAAGAATAGACCCACTGCCTACCCAAAAGCATGCTGTAAGAGTCGACTAATTGGGAGCTTCCTTCGAAATCGGACTGTCTCTGCCTGAGAGGCAAGGAACCAACAGTCTGCAAACAAATAAGTCAAATCTATAAAATGGGTGTGTATGCAACACTCAGGTTCTGGAACAGGAGTGGATAAACAACCACAACTTTCCACCACAGTTGACAGCTGGTGAATACAAAGCAGACTGTCGGGGTGCCAGGTTCGATCCCAGCTGCGGACAATTTGTCTTGCGTTGATTTCAACAATGGCACCAAGAGCTGACCATTCAGCCGCAAATGCAAACTACTGAACGTAAAGTTTGTCAAGAAAAACCACAACACCCAAAAATGCTGGGGTTGGTTCTGCAACATCCTGTAGAGGATACGCAACTAACATTTAATAACGCCTATTTTATGCCCTTACCTTAATTATTAAATGTTTTTAAAAAAAAGTAACTATTGGTTAAATTTTTTTGTTATCAAAATTGTGCAGTCACCAAATTTTGGCCACTCAGTGCAGCAGCACATGCCTGAATTTGGCTCTAATCCTGATTATATCTTCCGGATGATGATAAGAATGGATACGATATCACAGTGAATCCCAACCATTATACGTTTAAACGCTACCTAACATTTGCTAAATCAGCAAGTTTTGGCTGTTGTGGTTTTTCTAGGCAAATTTACATCCAGTAGTTTGCCATTGCTTTTTGGATGGTCAGCTTATCGGTACCACTGTCAAAACCAACACATGAAGCAAGGCCCACAGCTGGTATCATACCCGGCCCGCTGGCATTACGAAGCGCGTTCGCAACATCTTAGCCACAGACACCGATAACCAGAATACACACCTAAATCATGCCTTTCATAAATTTTATTTCCATCTACAAGAGCAGAATACACATTTTAATATTGTCTTACCTAAATTATGATATTTACATGCACAAGTATAGAATACCCACTTTAATAATGTCTTACCTAAATTATGATATTTACATGCACAAGTACAGAAGGTTAGATAGTTGCGTATCCTTTACAGGACATTGCAGAACCAACCCCAACAGCCCCTGGCTGTTGTGTAAGTACAGAATACCCACTTAAATAATGTCTTAACTAAATTATGATATTTACATGCACAACTATAGAATACCCACTTCAATAATGTCTTACCTAAATTATGATATTTACATGCACAAGTATAGAATACCCACTACAATAATGTCTTACCTAAATTATGATATTTACATGCACAAGTATAGAATACCCACTTTAATAATGTCTTACCTAAATTATGATATTTACATGCACAAGTACAGAATACCCACTTTAATAATGTCTTCTAAAGGTGACGGTAATTTGGTAAAAATCTTGTATAGCTCTTCAAAATCTCCAATGCTTATGGAAATCATGCCTAGCATATTGTCTACAGGGTGGGAGAACACAGTGGTCCGCATGCGGAATGGGATATACATGGCTGGGAAGAAAAAAAACATACACTCAAAAGCAGCAGAAAATCTCAATTTCAGTAGTAATATTGAATAAAATCTAGCTTGATCTTTCACGATGATTTTTAATATAAAGCCTACCCCCAAATATGCACTAGCTTGATCTTTCATGATGCTTTTAATATAAGCCCTACTCCAAAAAAAAGCCCTTGCATGATCTTTCATGATGCTTTCAATATTAGCCCTATCCCAAAATAAGATCTTGCATGATCTTTCATGATGCTTTCAATATTAGCCCTATCCCAAAATAAGCCATTGCATGATCTTTCATGATGCTTTCAATATTAGCCCTATCCCAAAATAAGCCCTAGCATGATCATTCATGATGCTTTTAATATTAGCCCTATCCCAAAATAAGGTCTTGCATGATCATTCATGATGCTTTTAATATTAGCCCTATCCCAAAATAAGATCTTGCATGATCATTCATGATGCTTTCAATATTAGCCCTATCCCAAAATAAGATCTTGCATGATCATTCATGATGCTTTCAATATTAGCCCTATCCCAAAATAACCCCTTGCATGATCTTTCACTATGCTCTTAATATTAGCCCTACTCCATAAAGAGCCCTAGCAAAGATCATCAGCTAGAATGAGAGACAGAAAACTTCTTCTTCATTGTTCATTCAAGAGATGTAATTGTGTTGTGCCAGTCAACAGCATAGCTGTGATATTTGCTGATATTTGCACCTTTCGGCCGATACATCCTGCTTCATCAGGTGGGTGTTTGTTTATTAGGTTAGCCTTCCCAAATAAAGAGAAATAAATGATAATAAAAAAAAAATGATTCATACATACCTCTAATCTAACAGATTTACAAGAAAGGCACATACAAATAAGAGAAAGTAAATGAAATTTCAAAACAGGACACTTATCATTATCCTGTTTTTATTTCATATAATTTCATGGTAGTCTGGATTTCCCAGCTCATTAATTGTATAGCAAATATGAAGAAAAAAAAACAGATAAAGAAAACAGTCATGGATAAAACAAGCCAATATACAGACAGCTAATCTAATATCAAGCATACTAAAAAGAAAAGTATACACAAATAAAAGAGTAAATGAAATGTGTAAACAGAAGGAAACAAGATTCCCCCTGTTTCGCTTTGGCAGCCTACTTTTCCCATCTCAGGATAACGAGTGTTTTCGAAAGTGTCATAAAAATCCCCAAACTGGCCCAGTGACATAATGATCATGCCCATTACAGACTCATCCGCCTTTTCAAATGGGCTGTCCTCTTGTCCCATAAATATGATATACATGGCTGCAATGTACAGATGAGAAGAAGAATACAATGTGAAACAATTACAATTCTGATTCAACAGCTCACATAATTTAAAAAAAAAACTAATAAGAGAAATCAGACATAGCCAATATTTGGGGGAGGGAGGGGGGGGGAAGGGGGGGGGGTCTGGGCTGGCAAAATTAACACAGCTAAAATAGGACTAAGGGAGTTAAATCTGAGTAAAAAGTAGAGGACCTTATTGGTTAAAAAAAAGAGGTGGGGAGGTGGGGGGGGGGGGGGGGGGGGGGGGGCTCTGAATAAATACAGCAAAAAATAGGACTAAGGGAGCTAAATCTGAGTAAAAAGTAAAGGACCTTATTGGTTTAAAAAAAAGAGGTGGGGGGGGGGGAGCTCTAAATGAACACAGAAAAATAGGACTAAGGGAACTAAATCTGAGTAAAAAGTAAAGGACCTTATTGGTTAAAAAAAAAAGAGGTGGGGAGGGGGGGGGGGGGGGGTCCTGAATGAACGCAGAAAAATAGGACTAAGGGGGCTAAATCTGAGTGAAAAATAAAGGACCTTATGGGTTAAAAAAAAGGGGTGGGGGCGATGAATGAACACAGCAAAAAATAGGACTAAGGGAGCTAAATCTGAGTAAAAAACAAAGGACCTTATTGGGGGAAAAGGGGGGAGGGGAGCTGAATGAACACAGCAAAAATAGGACTAAGGGAGATCAGTCTGAGTAAAAAAAGTAAATGACAGTGGTGCATTCGATGATGTTAGACTCCTGTTTTTTTCATCGAGTGAGTGAGGTTCAGCCCCACCAAGACTGATCAATGAGTGACCAAAACCGGGTGACATAAAGTGCGACCAACACCTGGTGACATAAAGTGCGACCATCACCTGGTGACATAAAGTGCGACCATCACCTGGTGACATAAAGTGCGACCAACACCTGGTGACATAAAGTGCGACCAACATCTGGTGACATAAAGTGCGACCATCACCTGGTGACATAAAGTGCGACCATCACCTGGTGACATAAAGTGCGACCAACACCTGGTGACATAAAGTGCAACCAACACCTGGTGACATAAAGTGCGACCAACACCTGGTGACACAAATTGCTACCAATCAGATAAGATCATTCGGGTGCAAGTCCCAGAAACCCTCTTCAACCATTAGGTTATATTTTATACAAATTATAAACTGTACTTTATACTGGGACAGAGATTTTGATCCGTCTTATACACTTGCTTGCTGTACCCCACCAGGCGATAAACCGTGACACAAAGTGCCACTATGTGGATGAGGATCACCCATGGAGAGGTCCCACAAACCCCTTTCAGCTGTTATGGCCACAAATGTGGCCCAGATATATTCAGGACCCCTGGCAAAAGCCAGGGTAAGGCTTCAAATAACAAAAAATTGCATCCTACAAGAGGATGACTAGGATTGATGAAAATAGTCTTATACACAACAGACTGACTTTCTACCCCACCAGGACATCACACAAGCGATAAACACCCGATGACACAAAGTGCCACCATGTGGATGAGGATCACCGTAGAGAGGTCCCAGAAACCGCATTCAGCCTCTAGGCCATATTTATGGCCAGCCTATATTGTAGCCTAAATTTCATCCTTAAAAAGGTCAGAAAGTTAATGGTTTTTATTTAATCATCACTCTTATATACTGACTGACTGACTTTCTACCCCACCAGGACATCACACAAGCGATAAACACCCGATGACACAAAGTGCCATCATGTGGATGAGGATCACTGTGGAGAGGTCCCAGAAACCGCGTTCAGACAATTGGCCATATTTATGGCTTGCCTATATTGCGGCCCCTGGCAAAAGCCAGGGTGGGGCTTCAAATAACAAAAAATAGCATCCTTGAAAGGATGTTGAACTACTCTTATATACTGAACTGACTTTCTACCCCAACAGGACATCACACAAGCGATAAACACCCGATGACACAAAGTGTCACCATGTGGATGAGGATCGCCGTGGAGAGGTCCCAGAAACCGCGTTCAGACAATTGGCCATATTTATGGCCTGCCTATATTGCGGCCCCTGGCAAAAGCCAGAGTAGGGCTTTAAATGGCAAAAAATTTCATCGTTAAAAGGATGAAATTAGATGTTACTCTTATTTACAAATAACTACTCTGCAACCAATATCTACTCACCGACAAGTTATTTAGGGTATTCTAATTTGTAACTGCATCATTGTCTGTTCACTAATGAAAGCTATCTAACTGCAATGTTCAGTTATCATTCATGACTGTGATAATGTGAAGACGACTAATTATACTTCCTGTTTGGTTTGATAATTTTTCAGGATATTTTCAATCCATCCACCATAAGCATCCTAGGATTTAGTAGCTAGCTGGTTGCTCCCCTTTGCACACTTTTCTATCTGGGTTGCTCCCCTTTGCATACTTTTCTATCTGGGTAGCTCCCCTTCACATACTTTTCTATCCCGGTTGCTCCCCTTTGCATACTTTTCTATCTGGGTTGCTCCCCTTCGCATACTTTTCTATCTGGGTTGCTCCCCTTCGCATACTTTTCTATCTGGGTTGCTCCCGTTTGCATACTTTTCTATCTGTCAACACGTGGTCAATATTACATCAGACACCTCTGCTTCCCAGGATATTATCTGTTACCCAAAATGGGTCGATCTGGGTACCAAGGTAAGTTCTGAAAAACATCTATCTTAACCTGGTTTAAAAAAAATCCAAGACCAGAGAAGAGCTTGCAAACATCTAGCAAATATGACATCAAGGAGAAAAATCCATTAAATGGGGGAGAAAGAAGTACACAGGCTCAACACATGTTTCACAATTCTGTTTCTGTCCTCCTTTGAATTAATGACCTGTGGGATATTTTTCATGTGCTTTGTAGGTTTCTGTTATTTTGTTCCCTATAAACATTCTGGTAAACATTTTTAGGTTGCAGCTGGGTGCACGATTCCATTTTCTTTACTGAGCTTCATATGCAGTTAACTGTGAGATGAAGAAGAAGAAGAAGAAGAAGAAATAAAAGGAGGAGGAGGAGAACACAAATAAAAAGATGATGATAACGGTTACTGGTGCTGCCTATAGCAGTATATCCATAAAAGTGCTTTAAACCAACTCCAGTTATTTGATCTGCACTGGGGTAAAAACTCACAATATACTCACAAGCATTTTCATCATCATGTAGCAGGTCCTTTGCAGAACATCGCTCTCATCACAGTCTGCCTGGAAGAAATTTGGTCTCTCGCCAGTTCTCATGAACTTTCATACTCTAGAAGTCACTTATATCCTGTGCCCATCTTCGAGTTGGTCGGCCTCTGCCCCTCTTTCCTGGTACCATGCCTTCTGCTATATTTTTTTTCAATCCGTTGTGGCGCTTGATATGACCAAAATATTTCAGCTTCCGAGACAGGATGCTGTTTTTTAGCCAGTCTTCCTTGATGATCAGATCTTTCAAGATGTCAATATTTCTCCTCTTCTTTGTCCATGTTATTCTGAGAATCTCTCACAAACATTTGACAAAACCAAAAAAGATAACCTACCTTGTGAGAATCCGATGATAAATACAAGATAAATTATGAAAAACTGCAGCAAGTCCTTGCGAATCATGTTATAGATCATCACAACAGATGGGCCTACAATACGAAAACCCCTGTGAAAGGAAACAACAAATAGGGTTTGGTTTTTGCTTTGTAAAAATCATGAGGCATTTGCAGAAAATTGCAGATAACAAACAGACAAAAACTGCATACTCAGAAGAGTAGAATGGGAGTAGATCACAAGACAAACCAAGAAGATAATGGAGAGATACAGGCAGACCTATAAAGTCACCAACTAGAAAAAAAAAGGCCTTTAACAGAGATAAATGGTGGCAGGTGGTATCTGCAGCAATGAACTTTAAGGGTTTGAAATGCTGAAGAAGAAGAAGAAGAAGAAGAAGAAGTCATTCTGCACAGAAAGACAAGGTCATATGTGGTCATCTTCTTGACATTCAGTTTCTAATGCTCAGGTCAGACTGTCAGGCGGGCTGCCTCTATGAAATTACAAGTCAGCTGAAAGTTCTCCATAGTTTCCCACAACTTGTTCGAAACACTTGTCTCTTGACGGCAGGTTTCTCTTCCTAGTTGAAAGTATAGTAGGCAGGCCTCCAGAATGTGCTAAGACACTTGTGGTCCCATCTTACATGCACACTGTAGAGACTGTGCAGTCTATATTTTATGCATGTGGTAATTGCGCCTGTGGTAGCCTGTTCTTAGACAGATACAACAATTTTCTGTCTGTTGATGAGGGATATTGTGGATGTTTCCTAATATGGGATAAAAATGAAGCCAACTGTCATGACTTTACCCAATAACTTCCAGCACAAGGAAAACCTCTTTACAGTGCAAAAACATTGTAGTATTGGTGGGGATAAAACAGTCTGTACATGAAAATCATCACCATCCTATTGTGCAATTACATGCTCACAGTGTTCTAGCATGCCTTTAACTCTTAGAGTCCCAAGAAAAACATCATACGTTCATGGCTTCCTACCTAGAAGCTCAATGAACACATGATGCGCCGATTTTATGACTTTATTTACTATCCCCTTTCTAATGCCACAACCCTTAAATACATTTCCTCATGTCATGGCAACCCCCAAACATACCATTATTTTTGTTGCTACTTCTAACTTCAGTGAATACGTGTTTTCTGATGGTCTTTAGCGACCCCTATGAAAGGGTTGTTCGACCCAAAACCGGGTCACGACCTATAGGTTGAGAACTGCTGCTTTAAAGGGTGGTTGGCATGTTGCTTTAAATTACTTTGGACCACGACATCTGCATACATCATGTCTGATTTTAACAAACTCTTAGCTAGTTACCTTTTATGGCATGCTTGTTTACTCTTTTAACTCTTTTCAGGCCCATGAATTTTGACAGACTTGGCCCATATTAATTTCCCTTTACAAAAATTGCAGAGGGGTGGGTGTACAAGAAAGGTAATAGAGAATGTAATATACTTCTAATCCTAATAAAAGTATACACATTTTTAAAGAGAAATGAATGTACATTTTGAATCTGATGATAAGTGTATGTTTAAGTTTTTTATAGTTAGTAGGAAAGAAGAATTCAGCGGGTGTTAATTTCACAACAACAACATTTTACAAACAAATTCTTCGCTTACCATGATTTTGCAGCAACACGATTAGTGACTATCCAAATTTGAAAACAAAACTTGAAAGTTTGTTTAATTTCCTAACAAATTCCAAAGTTATGATAAGTTTCTGGGTTAGTTTAGCACTCAGGAGCTCTTAGTTCTCACAGAGTGCTGAGAAAAATTTGAGAGAACAAATGGCCGAAAAATGAGCCATTACACACGCTATTTACTATTTACTTTGTACAGTTATATACAGACTGTAACTGCGATGATTTCAATGTAGCTTAGCCATAGTTTAGTACAATCTCTTTGTTTAGAGCACTCTCCTTCTCACCACAGGGGAAAAGATCTCGTGGAAGACCAAGGGAAACCCTACGTAGAACTATCATCAGGGAAGGCTCGCTCATGGGCCACTCAAACATCCAAGACCTACAACGGATTGCAACGGACCGCCGTGCATGGAGAGTCATGACCTCTGCCCTATGTGCCGCACTCGACACAAGAGGAAAGACTAACTAACTCTCCTTCTCTTACACCATAAATACGGTAGCAATGGGACATTGTCTGTGCAATAAACTCATCATAATTGCTAGATTCCGAACAGCTGATCGCTCAGCTTTGCTGGTGAAAATGCCCCGTCCGAATTACTTTCCGAAAAATATAAATTATCATTATCAGAATTAAAAACATCTGACTGAAACAATTTCAGAGCTTCGGCCGCAGAAAGATGCATTGTGTGACCTGTACTTGTTGTTGGAACATTGGTATTCATGGCACTCGAAAATGAACTTAGAAAATGCACTGTTGAAAAAAATTTTGCTGTTAATCCTATCAAATTATACATGTGTGGTTTAGGCTATGAAATGAAGCTAAAAGGATTTCAGCATAGTGACTTTCCCTGAATAGTTTAATTGTACCTCCCAACATTAGAAACTAGAATGTGCGAAGCACAATGTACGATGACAGCGTTGTTTGGGCAAAACGGAACTTCTCAAACAATGCTCACACCGTTGCTTGGGCCTCAAAGAGTTAAGTACTATAAGGTTTCATAAGAAGATGCCAATGAAGAAATGTCTATGGTTAAAATTCATTAATTCATTATGTTCAAGACAGAAATATAACAGAAGCAGTGGCCGCTGGACAAGCCAGATTTCTTGAGTATGCTCTGACCTAATCAAAAAGTAAGAGAACATATTAAGCTAGGGAGGAGATTCAGCAGAGTGATTCATGTGTTGTTTGGCACTCATATAGTTAAGGGGCAGTGGGTCTATTCTCCTGACCCCCACACCTTTAACCTTCAAATGGGGCCTCTCAAACCAACATAATGACTTCATTCTACTTACATCTTACAGGACTCACCTACAAAAGAACAGAAAGTATGGCGATGTACATAAAACAGCCAAAACTCCAACAACGTCTTCAAACTGTGACGCACAAGCAGCTCGTCCAGGCAGCATGGACACCACAAACAGACATGACACCAGAAATAGAAATTTGGCTGGGGCACCCGTCTGTACGACAAGAGAGAAAAAAACGGATCAAAGATAATTTTTACATCCTGAAATACTTTGGCCAAATTAAAAGACTCAACACACTTATATAAACCCTACTGGAGGGAAAAGTCAACGGCAAGAGAGCAAAAGGTAGACAATGTTACAATTGGAGGAAAACATCATAAGTCAACATCACTGTCCTGAGACAGTGTACAACCAATAAAAGACATAGAGTGTGTTTGAGATCTATTGCAGCCAGCCATCAATGTGGGAACGACACCTGATTGACTGACTGATTATTACAAAACTGACTTGTTAATTCACAATATAATTTGTATTATTTGCATAAAAAAAAAAAAAGGAAAGATCCCTTTTCACGCTTTTAGGCGCATTGGGCATATGGGAAGAGCCCCCATATTTTTACAGACTAATCAGTACTCGGTGGGTTATATATGGTCAGCATTACGCCGGCCGTTTCTACATCCCCAGGACAGCCATCCTGGTACCCATTTGAGGCTGGGTCGACCTGCGACGTCCCATACCAGGATAAAAATCCACGCAGCCCGCAGTGGGTTTCGATCGCAGTACGTTGAATTACCGCTTTTTTTGCATAAGCAACAGATTTACATACAAATAAAGGTAAGTTCTTGCTGCCTGCTTCAAACTTGGTCAGGAAACAAGGACACAACAAACAGACATAACAGATGAAACACTTTTGCTGGGTCACCAGTTGTCGTGAAGTGAACAGCCAACCCTACACGATGGACGAGTCGTGACTCGTCCACCCTACGCAGACAGTCAAATTTCAAACTTAAATCCGTCCAGAAGGGTATATAGTCCCTTATATTGATATATACCTGTATCTGGTAATATTTTCATTTCTAGACCCTCTAGTTGCTTTGATAAATCTTCATTTTCAAACTTGCAACTGTAGGTTGAAGATTTCTGGTATTTAATTCAGAAATTCCTGTAAGCCGGTTTACTCCTTAGGCATGAATACAGGGGACTTCTTTCCTAGTGACGCTAAACGTAGTTTGAAGCGGGGATTTTCTGCCTGACTGCCTAGAAGAACAGATGTTCTCAAATGTGCCTCATACATCTATGCTTTGAGGAGGCGGCCTTTGGTGTCTAGGACATATCTCCTTGGAGGCCAGGCAGTGAATCAGCAGTCCACAAAACCACCTACAAGGAAGTCACCTATGTCTAAGCCAGTGGTGGGCATCAGATTGTAAACCTAACTGTGGTCATCAAGTTATGAAATCATCCAGTTGGTCTACAGACAACATTATGGGTGTTGTACTTCCATCATCATTTATCCGGCAGTTTGTTTGTGCCTCAAGTGTTTGACTTGGTACCTGAGATCCTCTCCAGGAGCTTGGGTGTACCTCCAGTGTTCGAGTGTCTAGTGTGGGACTGTCTTGAACGTAACAACAGAGTGACTGAACATCCAGCCAGTTCAAGAAACCAGGGATTCAGATAAGTGTGGGCAATCATGGGTTTATTGCCAGGCTTCACTATTAAATGTCCACACTCATCATAAGGATGATCTAGGCGGACTCTGGAACATTCATACACGTTCAGTCAGATCGAGTTTGAAGTTTTGGTCCTTCATATCCCTCTGGGTTTTTGAAGTTCTTTGCTGATTCTTATATAATGTATGTGTTACACTTATTACAGTATTTCTAAAGTTTCACTATTGACTGGAGTTTCACTCATTCATTGTTCTTAGCTGTCTAAAATACATATAGGTTCAAGTAATAATCTTCACCTGTGTTAACATGGTTATGATAGTAGACTATCATAACCTGGGGGCTACCTTTTTATAGTAGTGGGGGTGTCCAGCCAAGTGTGCCTAGGAATATTATATATTTTGTAGTGCCAAAGCTTGAGTTGCCCTACTCCTGAAATAAGTTGAGCGTATATTGGCCACGGGATATCCCTTAGACCAATATGAGCCAACGACTCAACATAATTATTTCAAAGTGCTGTTGGTTCTTAAGGAGAAATCCTTAAATCAAGCACGTGACAGGAGCGATATGTGACAGAACACATATCCTCAAAAATGTGTGGTCTCGTCGTGGGATTGTTTGTATACTCTGTTCAATCTTTAAAATTGCTGGTGATCTTGGCCAGGAGGTTGTTCAGTGTTTGTATTTTGTTGTTAACACAGTTGTGACCACTCTGGGTCAGTTCTTAGAATGTGCTCTTAGGAGTGATTTGTAATCATTGTGGTGTTTCCAGTATAATGGGTTGGGTACAACCTTAGTGGGTGGTGATAAATTAATATATTTTGATTATATTTAAATTGTTGGTGACAATATATTTTGGTTGTGGACTGTTAGGTTGACAAGACAGCATGTAGCAGTCAAAAATTTCTATACAGGAATTGAAGGACATGGCTGTCCAGATGGGATTGGAGGGTTATGTACGTTTTTACAGACATACATAACACTCATCTCAACAGATCACAGGCAAAAAACAGACATTATATTAATTTCAGTGTCCACACAAAAATAAACAACAAAACAACCAAAAACAATACAATACACTCAGCTCAATACATCAGTGAAAATAAGATTCAACATGCTCACATCAAACTCACTCAAAAAACCCAAAAAAATTGTCACTCACCTCAATACAGTACCAGTTAAAAATATTAAAGAAAATTACATTATATGCACCTCTGTGTCTCACAGAAATAGAAAATAAACTTACCAAAGGTGGAGGACGAAATCATAAAACCCTGGTGATAAATGTCCTACACTCACCTCAATTCAACGCCCACCCCTCCCACCCCAAATTATATTCACCTTTATGTGTCACCATAAAAAATACATTACACTCACCTCAATGTATCTCCCTAATCCCCACATACATAACCAAGAAAACAACATTTAAAAAAAAAACTCACCAATGTGGAGAAAAATATCCTAAAACCCTGGTGATAAATCTCTTTCATTGCCAGGAAAATGTAAACTATTGCAGAGATGAGAACAATCGCTTCCAGAAACATCCGAGCCTTGGCAAGAACACAGTTGATTGAATCAAGATGGTTATCAGTTAAAAACTGTATGTGTTAGTTATTAGGAAAACATATTAGCATAAATCAGCATACAACAAACTTAAACATGTTATCAGGCAGCTAAAAAAAAAAGGCAATATAATTGCATAGATATACTTGTTTAATTTCCATGTGCAGTGTCAAAAACTGACCTCTTTAGCTTTTTTCCTGACTGTTATACAGTGTGGTCTATGGTATTTTATTTTATCATTTCTTATAAGTTAAATGACATGGAAAAGGCAAGACAGACATACAGACTGCTATCGTCCAAATAGGAACTCTCTGCTGGCTGCTGAAGAGGAGGACAAAGCATTTAAGGGAATGTCCAGAGTGCTATGATGTTTCTTAACTCAACTCAACATAAGTTAAATGAACAAGCAGCATTTCAAAGTATGAACTAGCTCTATCAGTCCCAACTAAGGCCTCCTGTGTGATCTGCTGCTGCTGCCTATGTGTCCCAGTAACACATGATGTGATCCGATTTTGTGATAAACATTTGACCTGTTTTTGTAAAATTCAACATAGGCAGTTTGATGTTCTAAATTATATGCAGCCCCCATGAAATTAATGCATGTATGCTTTAGTCCTTATGGCCAAGTATTCATTAGGCAACTGCTCCGAAGTAGCACAGCGCAGTGCATGGGCTCTGTAACACCGAGGATCCTGAAATAGTTTGGGGAGATTTTTACTCCAAATTTTGCCCGGGCAGCACCATTAGGCTACTCTTTTTTATTTCCAGCTGTCAAGGGATTTTTTACGTACGCAACAATACACACAGGCGTCCGATCTCACTACCCAGAGACCAGGGGAAATTACTAGAAATCCACTTGAAAAAATCTCAGCCTTCCCGGGGCCTGAACCTAGGACCTCTAGCACTCGAGGCGGACACCATGCCTCGAGACCACTCAGCCCCCTTAACAAACCTCAAACCTAGGCGTCTCATATGAGATCTGTTTGGACAGAATGAATTAAAGATCTGGACAATAACTCTTTTCAACTGTGGCATGGCCACATGAATGAGGTGACAAGACCAAACCTGATCCATGATTCTGGTGATCATGTGAAATGGCAAATTCCTGACTGTCTATGCTTATTGTCATGGCCACACTGATAATGATGATGATGATGATGATGATGATGATGATTATGATGATGATGATGATCCATGGTACAGTAAAGGACAAATGATGAAAGTGGTCACTCACTATGTCTTGGTCTCGGTAAGGTATGAGCAGGTAACAAGAGTTGAATGTGTGGTTGGGTTCACAGTGGCTCAAGTGTGAAGTATCATTGAGGCTGGAGCACAGGTCATCAGCTGGTCTCAGGGCAAAGGATATCACAAACGCAATGAAGTAGAAGATGAACAGGATGAACCTCCTGTAGAACCTACCAGACAAGGAATGAATGAATGAATGAATGAATGAATGAATGAATGAATGAATGAATGAATGAATGAATGAATGAATGAATGAATGAATGAATGAATGAATGAATGAATGAATGCACTCAAGACATTCCCATATGTGCTCCATCTCCTGCCTCACTAGCTAACAATGAGGCCCCATACTCACAGCTGAATCATTCTCTCCAGATAGATGTGGTGTCTGTTTCGTTGCATCCTATACTGGATTCAAGAATAAAAGAACCTCCACAATTTTTTGCTTTATCCTAAAATAGCTCACCGTCCATTCCTGGAAATCAGATGATAATTGACTCTTTTCTTTTGTTTCCATGGCTAACATTTAAGTCATATAAGAATTCAATGGAGATGCATAAGAGTACTAAGCCACATGAAGTAGAGCTTACATGTATTACGTTCACGGGGGCAGCAAATAAGTTAGAATCTGCATCAAACTGACCAAGCCTAAAGTACCAGTAAGTCCTCAAAATTAGCCGCCATGATGTTGACCATATCATTCACTAATATAGTATGTTGAATGTTGGATTAAGAATCAACATCATAGCACTTGAAACACTCCCATAAGAGCTCAGTCCCCATCTTCAGCAGCAAATGAAGAGTTCCAGTTCTGATGGCACCAGTAACCGTCTGATTGTATATCCATCTCACCTTTCCCTTGAGTGTTGAGCATCAACCAGATCCCCTGGCCACTCCTCCCAGTGCCATTCTCCTCAGACTGTAATGATCTGTTTGTTCTTCCGCACTGTACACTCGCTTCCAGAGGGCCCTCACAACATCTAGCTTGTCATACATCAGTTCACCACCAAGGGGTGCAGAACCTGCCAGTCTATCTGCCTGCTGATTTCCCAACACATCGGCATGACCTAGAGAGAATATTCAAAGGATGCTAACTACCCGTGATCTCTGAAGTGATGATTGTCACTCTGCACGGAGCATACCTGTCTCCACCTTTCTCGACATGCTCTGTGAGTCAGTTATAATCAAGGCATGTGTTTACAGCTGATTCTCAAGCCAGCAGAATGCAGTTGTTACTGCCTCCACCTCTATTCTCAAACTAGACGTTTTGATTTCATATGCTAGGCTTTGTTGCACTAAGCGACGTCAGTTTGCTTTCGCTAAAACATGTCTGTACTATATACCCAATATGCCTAATAATAATGGAAAAGGGGCCATAATTTTAAAATATTTCATGGCAAGGGACTGCACAAAAATAATCTATTTTTTAATTAATGAAACTGTACAAACATGTTGTGTAGGAAAATTAGGTCAGCAAAGTTGCCACTTTTTTACATTGCAAATTTTTAGTGTATTCTGACTAAATACGTCATCAAGTGGCTTAGGGGTTGGGAATAAGGTTTGTAATCCTGAAATACCTGGTCCAAATCAGCTGTAGGCAATTTGGCAGCAGACCTATTTCTAATGATTCTGATAATAGTATAGAGTGCCAACAAATCATAAACAAATGGCAAACTACTGAATGTTAAAGTGCCTAGTAAAACCCCAAATGCTGGAGTTGGTTTGCATCTTCCGGTGAAAAATATATGACTAATTTAAACATAAAATTTAAAGACACCTGTCACGATGGCTCGTATCAATTTTAGGCTAGGTCAACTAGCAGCCAAGTTAAATTTTGTAGAAAATAATCAAATTTGGTGTGGATTTGAAACCAAGACCTTCGAATCAGCAGGTAAATGTCTAACCAACATGCTGCTATGGTATCCATGGTCAAGTCTTAACAAAAAAAAATAGAAAATGCAGATACTGACCTTCCATAATCTATAAGCTAAAAGCCATGCAAGTGTTTTGGGGGCCGCCGTGTTGCCGTGACTAGACACTCGCCTGCGGATCGGAAGTTCGTGGGTTAAGGTCCTGACAGAGCCAAATATTTTGTCAAAAATGACTTTGGCTCCCAGGTCGACCCAGCCTTGACTGAGTACTAGGTGCAGTCCTGGGAAACAGAGGAGGGCGGCTATGTTGACCAAATCACTCATTGAGTGCCGATTAGTCTATAGAATATAAGTCTAGCCCTATTTGCCCAATATGCCTAAGGCATGAAAAAGGGTCCTTTAGTTTGTTTATTTACTTATGCAAGTGTTTTGGAGGGAAATATATTTACCTGTAGCCAGCAAATGTTTTCCATTTCTCCTGCAACAACTGTACAATCAGCCCATCCATCATCTCCAAGTGCCCTTCAGATTCCTAACGAGTAACAAAAATTTCAAGGCTAAAGTCAAGAGGTTTAACTTCATTGCATCAGGTTTTGTCTGAAGGGGCTCAGTCTCTCTATACAGAACTGCTAAGCCACCAGCCTAGAGCGTTGCTTAAAGCACCCACACTGTAGATCTGCTGACGATCCCCGAGGTCTACATAAAAGTTGCACTCGTGAACTGAATGACACAGCCAGAAAACAAACCCATGACCTTAAGAGCATGAGGCAAATGACTTGACCTCTTTGGCGTGGTGACCCCCTTAATGGCGGTCCGTAGGAGTGGATAACAAGCATCAGCTCAACCAAATTATAAGGACTCCATCGATATAGTAGGTGAGGGATAAACAAAAGAAATTTTTTGCTACAACGGACAGTTACAGCATAATGGGGTAACACAATACTGACTGAACTCTACAGCTGTTCGAGAAACTCTAGAACATTCTGAAATATCATAATCATCATCAAGTGCTTTCCAAACCACTTAATACAGCCCTCCCCCCACACACACACACAAATGTCAACTGAACACTACAAATGAGAAACATCAGACTTCTGGAGCAGAGTCACAACTGTGTTGTCCTGAAAATAAGACCAGGTCTTGTATAAATGTTTGATCCAAAAATGCCTTAGGGCTTATTTTCAAGGTATAATGCATTTTTATTTTATATGTGTCTTTATTTTTACAAATACTCAGTTAAAACTGTTGTATATCAGTAATTTTATTCACTTATATTGATCTATTTATAAATTCATTTTTTGGCTATCATCCTAATAATGGTCGGTAAAGATGGCGGCCGCAAAATATACTTTCGAGCCTTAGTCACGTGACTTCATTTGCGGTTTCCGGCAGTTTTCTATCGAAAACCGCCACGAGTCCCCCTCGCCCCGTGAGCGGTGATCGCCAGAAAACCGAGGGAAAAACCGCAAGTTAAGTGGCCAGAAAACCGCAAATGAAGTCACGTGACTGAGGCTCGAAAGGATATTTTGCGGCCGCCATCTTTACCGACCGTTATTCGGAGGATAGCCCATTTTTTTATAACTAAATGCGTCCCTTGTGTGTTTCACTGGATGGAAAAAAAAATCAGTCAATATAGCTGACTAAGCATCTTTAGAAATCCTTAGCTAAAAAGAGCAGCCGAGATGTTTTGAAAAAAGCGAGGGCTCGAAGACAACTTATCACAAACATCAGAAAGAGTCAGTCTTCATTTTTTGGTCATGTTTTGAGAAGAAGGAAACTAAAACATGTTGTGACAACTGGAAAGATCTGTGGAAAGAAAGACAGAGAAAGACAGCGCAAGAAGATTTTGTCATGGCATGGAGTGTGTCAACACACGAACTGATACATGCAGCTGGGAATCAAAGATGATGAACAGGCATGATCGTCCACGCCAGTCGGCAGGGAACTTGATGATGATGATGGCTGATAAACTTAACTAAGGCCTAATTCTGGGGTAGGCTTATATTACAGGCATCCTGAGAGAAATTCTTCTGGGGCTTATTTGTTTTAGGTCTAATTTTGGGGGAAACACAGTATCAATAAGGTGTCATCTCTACACTGAAGGTCAGTGGTCATTAGTCTCTAACTGCATCTGTCATCCGACCTCATAGTCAAGTCATACTTCTTCAAGTCTGTCTCATGATGTTGTCCAGCTCATCATCATTATCAACACCACAGACCTTGCAGACTGGGATCGGCACTCATACCTCCCCACAACTTGTGATTTTGAACAGCATGTATCAGTTCGTGTGCTGACACAAGTCCATGCCATAGCAAAAGCTGTTCAGAATCTTGCCAACTTGCCTTCTTTTATCTATTTTTCTATAAATCTTTTCAGTTGTCCCAACAAGCTCCTTTATGTCATAATGTGGTAACTGACTGACTGACTTTCTACCCCACAAGGACATCACACAAGCGATAAACATCCGATGACACAATGTGCCACCATGTGGGTGAGGATCACCGTGGAGAGCCTTTAGGCCATATTTATGGCCAGGCTGTATTGCGGCCGCTGGCAAGAGCCAGAGTAGGGCTTCAAACAACAAAAAATTTCATCCTTAAAAGGACGGAAAGTTAGGTATAATGTGGTAAAAAATGATAAGTTATCTTCGGGCCCTCACCTCTTTCAAAACATTTGAATTACTCATTTTGGCTATCCAAGAAATCTTAAGCTTCATGAACAGTGTAGTTTGGGACAGTGCGAGACAAGAACTCTGATCTGATCCCTGATTCTGGTGACTGTGTGGGATGATAAAAAACAACCTACACTTATTAGCAGGACTGATGATGATGATTGTTGTGTCAAGTGCAAATAAGACAAAGGGACATAAAGCAGATGAAAATTACCCCTTGTACAATAAGATTTAATGCAGAGTCCATGTTAATCTCCCCTGTGCTTGATATGGTGTCAATATCAGTCAGTGGATACCCAGCAGACGTCACATTGCCGTACAACCAGTAGACCTCCCGAACCATCTCTAGAATGTGCTCAAACATCTGAACAGGAAATTTCAGAGAAATAAATACAACAAAACATTCATAATTTGAATCATACACACACAATTTAAAAAAAAAAAAAAAAAAAAAAAATTCTTTTGTATGAGCCTTGCAACCTGCAAACGTTAGACAAGAAATTTAACAGAAGTGAACAGAACAAAACAATAATAGTTTCAACGGTAGACAAAACAATACAAAAAACAATACATTTTCATTAGTATGAACCATGCAACCTGCAAAAGCTAGACAGGAAATTCCATAGAAATCAACAGAACAAGACATTAATAATTTCAACTGTAGATGAAACAATACATCTTCTTTAATATGAATATAGCAACCTATAAACACTAGACATCATATCACTTTGTAACCGAAGAAATCCACAATTGTCGTAGAAAGCTAACAGGGTTTCTGAAATTCGCTCCTACTGGATTAGCGTCTTATTCTTCTACATTCCCCCTACATGCTATGCACAATTTGCACTTACATCTTTTCGTGCAAGTTTAGCAGCCATGGTGAGAGGGGTCAAATTTTGCCGGTTCTTGATGTCTAGTCTTCCTCCCTGGCTGTAGAGAAGGTCAAACATTTTCTGAAATTAAAAAAAAATTTTTTTTAATCTTATTGACAGTTTGTAACATTTAGCTTGATTTAAATAAATGTTACGTTAATATAGTAAGTAATTCAGATGCTGAGTTAACAGTGGGCATGGAGGATGTTGCTACATCGGGTACGAAAGCCATCAGCCTCATAGTAGGCTAGCTGGAAGGGTGGGGAAAAAAAGTTACCTGCCAATTACCTGTAGTCCACTCAAGTCAACTCCAACTGCAAGTAGTGTAAACTGAGGATGCGAGGTTTCAGGCTAACAGAACTCTGGCTCGCCAGGTGGGTCGGGATCCATCTAGTTGAATACTTCCTACAAATGCAACAGGCCCAGCAATCCAGCAGCGGATACAAGCTTTGTTCAAAGAAACCATATGATAAATCAGACAGATCCTTATGGTATAAAGCACCCTTGGGTTCGTTCTTCAAAATCTGATGCTCAAAGGCAGAACAAGATCTCAGAAAAAGAAGAAAGAAAAGAAAAAGAGTCTAGCCAACAAAAATGGAACACAAGTCATTAGCCTTTATCAGTTAAAAAAAATTTTTTTTTTTAAATTAAAAAAAAAAGGCAACTTAGCTTGTAACCATTTCAGTACAAACCAGCTCAACGTGTTTTCCTTTAAATAGGCAAGTGCTCTAATCTGCATATGAGACATTTGACTAAAACCTGTATGACTGACCAGGGTAAAATTACCAGCCAGAAACTCTGAATAGCTGTTCCACTTCTTTGTGTTCTGTTAGCACATATACTGGTTCTGTCGAGTTTTTGAATGCTAACAATATTTATGTACACTTTTCCAGGTCAACCAAACCAAAAAACAAATACCAGGAGATATTTTGATAATTAAATATGGCCAGAGTGAAACTGAACACATCAGTTGTTATGTGCTTCAAGGAACACTGGGGGAGGGGAGGTAGAAGAAGAAGAGGGCAAAGAATCTGGATTGATATACCTCCACAAGCCTAGTTTATGTTATGTTAAGTGCTGATAATTCTATAAAATATGGGATTAACATCATATATTCTATAGGCTTCAAGATGGGGAAACAATTTCATCATTTTAGTTTTTTAATTATGTTAATTGGCAATAGTGAAGTATAGCGTTATAAAATATAGTTAAATTTAACCCTAATAGAATAATAAGTAGAATTTATTCACAAGGTTAAAAAAGACAATTTAAAAGCAGTCCCATAGCAGATCCTGCCATGGGTTGTGAAGTGTGAAGCTATCAAACATTTTTCAGCAACTCTCTTTTTATTGTTAACACAATAAATAATCTATTTTTAAGATCTATAGCAATTTTATTCATAAATATGGCCATTCTAAGGGGAATCCCTCTCAGCTATGGTAAACAAAAAGTCTTACTATGTAGCACTGTACATGGCACCTGGCACAAACACCCTCAACTAACCAGGTTATCGTAAATCACCAGCATATGCATCACTGTGTTGCCATTAGCATCCTGCAAGTTGGGGTCAGCACCTTTGGCCACCAGCAGGCGCACACACTCTTCTTGGTCCAAACACGCAGCAAAACTGAGAGGATAGTCACCCCAATAAACATTGCTGGGGAGGAAAGAATATGAAATCTTAATACAGACATGCAGCTATATTTAGTTTAACTAATACAACATAGTCTATGAACTAATGGAGGAAAGGAAAGATAGAGCATACAAGTTTAACTATACATTTGATCTAAGTTTCTTCTTCTTTAGTTATTAATGTTTACTATGTATCTATTCCAGCATGTTTTCATCACAGAATGATATGCTGTGGTTTAGGGACTCATTTCGCATGGGGTAAGGGGATAGACCCACTGCCCCCCCCCTTCCCTCCCCCCAACAAGCATGACGTAAAGGTTAACTAATTAGTAATGTTTCCCTGAAAGACACAGTGCATCTGCCTGAGAGGCGAGGAACCAACAGTCTGCAAACAAATAAGCCAGGTCTGTAAAATGGATGTGCATGCAAAACTCAAATTCTTAAACAAGACTAAAGTCAAAAAGCTGACGAACAACCAGAATCTTCCACCGGAGTTTACATCTGGTCAAAGCAAAGAAGAAGAATAAGAATGATATGTTTGAGGTTTTCACTGATCCCCTACAGCTGGTCTTGCAAGATGGTTTATATAGACCAGGTTTCTTCTCTCTGACTGGTCAGGTCTGAGGTGTGCCATAAGACATGCTTCGGTGCATCACAATCACATGTGGCAGAGTCGAAGAAACCCACTTGATTTAGATTTTCACTGTGTGGATTCAGAGGCTTCCCACTGGAAAAAAGAATAGACAAAATGTCCCCTTGGAAAAAAGAATAGACAAAATGTCCCCTTGGAAAAAATAATACACAAAATGTCCCCTTAACAAGCATGTCATTAAAGTTTACTAATTAGAGGTACTTCCTTCAAAGTCAAAGTGCATCTGCCTGAGAGCTGAGGAACCAAGAGTCAGTATACAGATCTGTAAAATAGTCATGCACACAAAACTTAGGTATTGGAATAAGACTGCAGTCTTGAAGTGGATAAACAGAAGATTAAGATGTGCTCTGAATGTACATCATCCTGTTATTTGTCTGGCAATTCCAGTTTGGACTTAAATTTAAATGTGAGACTATAAACATATGCCTCATTCACTTCTAGACATGACACAAATAACTGATTATGTTTGCATATTCCTAATTTTATTTTAAAATTACCTCACACAACTGATCTGTATCTGAAAAACGAATGTCGTTTCACCCTGTCACGACCTTCCCAAGATATACAGCCAGAAAAGTTCAGATCATTAGTTTATAAGCTAAACAGACAATCTAATATGCCATCAAACTAAAAGAATAATCACATGAATCAGAAAGCCTCCAATTCCAGTACAAAATTATCATATCAGGAGCAGGCAAGAACATGTTATTATTGTGAACTGGCTGTAATCGATCCCACAATCATAACAGAATAAATACAATTTAAAATGAGAATATTAGCCATGCGCACATGTGGATTAGTGTCAAAGACAGTAGAACTCACACTTAAAGCCTGCCTTGAAAATGACACTTTAGTTCAATTTATGTGGTCTAGAGAAACAACTGTGCAATGACAAACCAATAAATGAACATCTTCTTTTGTTTGCTTAAAATTGATTATCTAAATCTGTAATGTTGTCTCTAGTATGAACTTCACTGTCTGTTGTACTTCACTCAGCGACCCGTAAAGTTGACGAGTGAACTAAAAGTATAGTAAATTCATAGATAAGATGATAGTAGAAATTTAGATGACCTAATTCAAAATAATTAAAAAAAAATAAGAACAGGAAGAAGAAGAAGAAGAAGAAGAAGAAGAAGAAGAAGAAGAAGAAGAAGAAAAAGAAGAAGAAGAAGAAGAAGAAAAAGAATAAGAAAAAGAAGAAGAAAAAGAAGCAGGAGGATGATGAGAAGGAGGAGAAGAAGAAGAAGGAGAAAAGGACTCTAAACACTATTTTCAAAATTTCTGAGCAAGATACCCACCCTTCGTAATTTGTTTCCCTGCAGAGAATAACCCATTCCTGATCAAGCACATCAGTGCGAGACTCTCTCTGGTCGTCTGGAGTGAAGAAATTGCCGCAAACTCTGGCCTCCACGTCTGCTCCTTTGTCTAGCAGAAACTTAACCATGGCAGGGTCTTCATTAACAATGGCCAAGTGCAAGACCGTCTCCCCTTGAAACAAAAACAAATAATGATCAATTTTACCACATGTATGGCCTTTATAAGATTGGTGTGGATTACAGATATGACTGGGGTAGTTCCAATATTTGGCAGTTGTCTCTAACTTGGGAATTTCAAGGTTCAAATCCAGTTTAGAATAAAATTCAAAATATTTTTTTTCCCATGTGGGTTCTAGAGCCCCATGTAGGGGGAGACAACAATTGACCCACTGCTTCCCTAACAAGCATGTTATAAGAGTCTACTAATTAGAAGTTTCCTTTAAAGTCAGAGTGCATCTTCTGAGAGGCAAGGAATCAACAGCCTGCACACAAATAAGCCGGACCTGAAAAATGGCTGCGCACAAAAAACTCAAGTTCTGGAACAGGACTAAAGTCCAGAAGTGGACGAACAACCAGAACTTTCAGTCAGAGTTTACAACCGGTGAAAGCAAAGAAGAAGAAAACAATTTTTGTTTTAAATCTGAGGATGTTCTATTCTCCTCAGATCTCTGGGTAGTGGATGGGATGCATGTTCTACTCACATAATGGTAAAAATATGAGGTTTTGTGTGATTGTAAACTGTAAATTAGTAGTTGAACATTATAAAGAGTTTTTTGTACAGTCTACTTACTAATAAAATAGCCTAAAAACACACACCAATGCGCACACATACGCGCACAGTATAACAAGTAAAAAATATTTTAAAAATAGAGAATAAACAAAAAAAGATATATATGAGAACAATAGGATAAGTATAAATTACGAGTGTAGTTTCAAAATCTTCAAAAAGGATATTAAAAACATAAAACACATTAACAGTCCCTACATAAAATGGGAGCAAATAAATATTCTGACAATAAAGATAAGATCTGAGTGTCCAAGAAAGCCAACTCTATATACAACTGTAACATACTGCAAGACTTGCCAGCCAGGCTACTTGGAAAAGTGGACTAACAGTGAACTAGAATAATATACAGAATGTCTTTAGAGATATAGGGTGAATAAACATCTTCCTCTTGTGATCACATCACTGGTTTAAACTGACAAACAAGTTTTTGTAATAAAATACATTTTCATAGCAGTGAGGACTGTGAATCTGAAATCTTGAACATCAAGTCAAAAGGGAAAAGGTAGAGGGAAAGACTTAACAAGAACAATATTCATGTGTGGGTTCCCGGGCCCCATTGTGGGAGAAACAAGAATAGATCCACTGTCTACCCAAAAGCATGTCGTAAGAGTCGACTATTTGGGAGATTCCTACGAAGTTGAAGTACATTGGAAAAGCAAGGAACCAACAGTTTACATACAAATGAGTCAGATCTGTGAAACGTTTGTGCATGCAACACTCAGGTTCTGCGAAAGGACTAGAGTTCAGAAGTTGACGAACAACCTGAACTTTCCACTGGAGTTTACAGCCGGTGAACGTGAATGAAGAAGAAGAAGAGCAATATGTATGGGTCTAACTGATAATAGAAACCTTAAAGAACTTGTGTCATAGTCACCTTAGAGAGATTTACTGAGGAAGTGATAATAGCAGCATGGATTGAATAATTAAAGGGGATATTGTATTGACTACCTGGAACTCTTAATGGAATTTTTAACCAAACAACATATCAAAATAATAGCAAATAATCCAGTATAATGAATCAAACATATGGTTGCTAAGAATATATGCTGGCCCAAGAATGCAAAGGGTCGTAACCCAAAGATATTAGATACAACTGTGTTGAACGTTGTCCTCTCATGATGTAGTTACAGAGCACAATCTTCTTTGTTTTATAGCTGTTCGTAAGAGTGCAGTGGTTGCCCAGATATTTCTTCACCTTTCTTAAAGATGATTATAAAATAATTACATATTATAATATCTGTGTGGACTTTTATCGTGGTATGGGGCGTCGCAGGTCAACCCTGCCTAAAATGGGCACCAGAATGGCTGTCCTGTGGAAGTAGATATGGCGGGTGTACTGCTGACCACATTACTTACCTAGTGCCGATGGTCTGAAAAAATATAGGCACTCATCCCACATACCTGATGCGCCTAAAGGCGTGAAAAGGGATCTTTACTTACTTTACATACCATAATATTCTTCTCCACAATAGATGTCGTTGATCATCTTTGGGAAGAAGAACAGCAATCTCTTAGCCAAGTCAGCATGAGTCTGTGTGGCATTCAGCAAACACAGGTGGAGAATTGTTTCTCCGACTGTTCCTCTCTTGTCCAAATCCCAGCACTGAAACCTGAACTTATGATCTGAAATACACATTCTGCCATTTAACTCTTTGAGTCCCAAGAAACGCATCATACGTTCACAGGTTCCTACCTAGAATCCCAGTGAACGCATAATGCGCTGATTGTATGTCTCTCTTTACTACCCCTTGGGCCTGTGATGCTAAACACTCTGGGACTCAAAGAGTAAAAAAATGATTTTCTGACTGTATTTACAATATTTTGCAGTGGGGGGGGGGGGGGGGGGGGGGGGGGTGGGGTGGGGGGGGGGGGGGGTCTGAGAATTTAAAGTCACATGGCTAGATCAAGGACAGTGCAGGCAAGAATTTTGTTGTTGTTGCCCCTGACAGAAAATCCCCAACCTTACCGAGGATTCAAACCTGGGTCTAATGCAAGAGAGCCCAGTGTTCTTAACCATTCAGCCAACCACTCCTCATACACATTTTATCGTCATCAAAATTATCAGAATAACCAGGGACGTATATGTAAGGCCAGTAGAGACATTGCATTTTTGTTTTATTTGCAGTATTAGGATAGAGCGAGGAAAGAACAAAAAGACTGGCTGGCGACAGGTCTAGGTTGGTCACGTTTCTGGTGTACTACTAGCAACAATCAACTCTGAAAAAACGTCATCTGTTGAATTACCTTATCCGAACAGAATATTATTTCTCTGTACTCCCTTTTGGGTAAAATGCTAGTTGTCTAATTAAACTGTTTAAGAAGGGCTGTAGGAGTGACCATAAGAGATAAGATCAGGAATGAGATCATAAGAGAACAAGTCGGCACAGAACCAATTCTGGATTATATAAAAAGACAGCAAGTGAAATGGTTTGCTCACTTAGAGAGAATGCCTTGTGACACCATACCATACAAAGCATACATGGAAAGAGAAGAAGGACGTAGAGCACGAAGTAGACTAAGAACAAGATGGAAGGATAACATCAGAGAAACTCTACAACAGCACGATGTGCCTATGGTCGAGGCAGCCAGAAGAGCTAGAAACAGAACCTTATATCTCCCTTTGACACCCACAGCGGTAAAAGAGGAAGTGAAGAAGAAGAAGAAGAAGAAGAAGTAAAATACCATACTTGGATAAAATGCCATCTTTCTAATGAATTTTAAAAAATGTCTTTAAAAAATTTAATCTACCTAATTATCTTGTTGCAATCTTTCTTCTTATTCTTATTTCACCCCAAAAATGGTGGTTAGCACACTGTGTTGTGGTTCACAGCTAGGCTGCAATTTCTGATCCTTTTGGCCCAACACATCAGATTTCAGCAAACTGAAACCCATATTTAGTCACCTTTTACAACATGCTGAATGGGATGCAGAGGGTCTCTTCTCCCCTTCCCCTCCCCTTGTGGAACTCACACAGGAACCATTTATCTAATTACTGTATTTCGACAAAATCCTATCTATCTAATTACCTTATCTGGAGAAAATCGTATCTATCTAATAACCTTGTGCAGATAAAATGCAGTCTGTTTAATTGCTCTCTCTGGTAAAAATCCATCTAATTAACTTGTTTGAACAAAATCCTATCTATCCTATTAACTTGTTTGGATAAAATGCAGTCTACATAATTACTCTGATTGGTAAAAATGCATCTAATTACCTTGTTTGAACAAAATACAGTCTACCTCATTACTCTGGTAAAAATGCATCTAATTACCTTGTTTTGACAAAATGGCATCAATCTGATTACTCTCCATCATCATGATGCTGTCGATTTTAGCCTGATCTTGAGCAGACTTCTGCTTGTTCTTGCTTGCTTTGATTCCACTTCTGCAACGATCTTTGTTCCTGAACTTCACTAGATCCACAATTGGAATTAATTTTCCTTCGCCTTCATTGTATAAAAACTGCCGCACCTCTGTCTTAATTCTGTCATCAACCTCTGTAGGGGATACAGAAACCAACAAAAGTTATAAGTGACTTGATATCAACAAAAGTTACAAGTGACTTGATATCAACAAGAGTTACAAGTGACTTGATATCAACAAAAGTTACAAGTGACTTGATATCAACAAGAGTTACAAGTGACTTGATATCAACAAGAGTTATTGATATCAACAAGAGTTACAAGTGACTTGATATCAACAAAAGTTACAAGTGACTTGATATCAACAAGAGTTACAAGTGACTTGATATCAACAAGAGTTACAAGTGACTTGATATCAACAAGAGTTACAAGTGACTTGATATCAACAAGAGTTACAAGTGACTTGATATCAACAAGAGTTACAAGTGACTTGATATCAACAAGAGTTACAAATGACTTGATATCAACAAAAGTTACAAATGACTTGATATCAACAAGAGTTAAAAGTCATGGCACAGAAGACAAAGGCACTGCAGTGGTGTTGGGACTGGACCCTAGCTTGCCAGCCCAAAAGTGATGGGTTCCAATCCATAAGCTAAAATTTTTCTTTAAAAAAAAAAGACCCAGCCTAGCCTAAAATGGACACCAGATAAAAGTTCTTGGCAGTAAAGATGGCCAACATGTTGTTGACTACAACACCCACTGAAATTCAAATAGGACCAGAGACATTTCATGGATTTTCACTGGCACAGGAAGGGAGCAAGTGTGGGATGACCTTATTGCAGTGAAGATGAAACCTCAACTAGCTATTTAACACTAACCCATTGAATGCTAGTAAAAAAGTAAAGCATAGGTTTCTTTTCCACACCAGTGGAACATCGGGCACATGAGGTCAGACCTATATTTTTATAGACTATCTGGCCCTTGATGAGATATGTTGTGAGCATCATGCCAGCCACCTTTACTTCCCAGGACTTTACCTGACGCCCATTTAAGGCTGGGTCAACATGGGAGCCTAGGTCATGTTTGAAGAAATTTTTTTTGCGCCATGTGGATTTTAACCCATGACCTTCAGATCCGGAGGTGAGCATCTAGTCCGTACACCGGTTCCAATGCTAACTGGTCTATAGAAATATAAATCTAGTATCCTGTGCCCGATGCACTACTGGAATGAAAAGAGTCCATTACTTTTTCTTCTTTTTTTTCATAGAAGATATTCCTGATGCCTTTCCTTTCTCCCATAAAGTAGTAGGTCAACATGGTTTCTGGCTATCTTCCGAATAACGGTTCCAAATTATCAAGGCAGAAAATATACCCTAACAGGGCCTCAGTCATGTGTCAATTGCGCACTTCCGGCGACTTAAATTGTGCACTTCCGCGACTTCCACCACCGCCGAGAGTATCCACTGGGACTCATGAGCAGCAGCTACCGCATTTCCTGCAGCTGCCTTAATTTTATTTGCTTCTGAGTCCCAGCCATCTAGTTTAACGCCAATCCACGCCGCTCACGCGACGTCAGGGATACTCTCGGCGGCGGCAGCATAGTCCCCGGAAATTCGCAATTCGGCGGTGGCGGTATAGTCCCCGGAAGTGCGTAATTGACACGTGACTGAGGCCTTGTTAGGGTATATTTTCTGCCTCGATAATTTGGGACCGTTTTTCGGAACATAGCCTGGTTTCTTTTCCCTCACTGAGCTGAATGATTCATTTCCACATGTCTGCCTCAGACCAGATTTTGGTATATCCATAGTTTTCTTATATACGTTGCTCAGAGCATTTTTATGGTGGTACGCAATGGTACGTAGTAACAATTTTTTTTTCTAAACTTTTTTAGTCCCATAGATATTCCTCTAAAATATGTTACTGGAAATCGTAATATAAGGTATTACATTAATAAATATAACCATCTCAACAAGTTGAATACCATAACATTCTGGGATTTCTATCATGCAAGTTGAAGAAAAAATGTATGTTGCACTGCCTCGTACCGAAAGAGTTGAGGAATCTTTTATTTTTCAGTGCTACTGACTTCTTCTTTGCTCACCAGCTTTAAGTTCTGGCAGAAAGTCCTGGTTATTCATTCATTTGGACCTTGGTCTTATGCCAGGGCCTGCGTTTTGCGTGCACATCCATTTTACTGTCTTATTTATGTGCAGTAGGTTGGTCCTTGCCAGTGCCACTGTAAAGATCACTTTGTGATAAGTACATTGTGAGTACAGGCAAATTTTTCCTTGAAAAAAAAAAAAGAAGCTCTAATGTTAATTCTTTGTGGTAAGTCTATCTTTTGGCTTTTTAAAAATATTCCATGGGACTGTTTAAGTTAGTTGTTTGTGGTGGAAAGAATAGATTTCTGTATGTTGTGACCACTGGAAAGATCTGTGGAAAAAGAGACAGAGGAAGACAGAGTGAAAAGATTCTTGACAGTCTTTTGTCATGGCATGGAGGGGTGTCAAAACATGAACTGATACATGCAGTTGCAGATCGCAGATTGTGGAGAGGCATGATTGCCCATGCCAGTCGGCAAGGCACTTGATGATGATGATGATGATGAAAGAGAGAGAGGGCAAATTTTATCAAGTCCACAAAACCTTGGTGGAGAATTGAAGGAATGGTGTCATGGGAAAACAGAGGTGGGAAAAGGTAGTTGACCTAGGATATTACTGCACAGATCTTCTTTCTCTTGTGTCCTTTATCTCCTAATGGAGCAACAGCTATGCCTTCAATCAACTCACACAAAGTTGTCCAGTCATTTGCCATTTCTTGCAACTAACTCAAATGCCCTGCCTTTTTCCCCACCCACCCCAAATTATCTTCTCAGTGTGTAAATAGATAGTCACGTTCTTTAGGGGGGGGGGGGGGGTCATCACTTTCAACCAGTAACCCGGAAGAGTGAAGCTTTAGGTTATAATTGTGACTAGGTTATGTGCATGCCCCATATAAAATGGCTTAGCATTGCACGTCACCAACAACCATGAAAAGAACGCATGCAGTGTTGATGCGATCAAAGGAGATAGACCCAAATACTGTCCCGATCGGTGATGAAGTAGTTTACAGGTAAGCTGACGGGCGAGTGGTCGCAGATGCTCTTCATGTATTTCTACGTCAGCCTTTTAGCGCGCTGCATGCAGCAACCAATATTAAACTAGCGAGCGCTAACGCTTCAACGTGAGTGATGTTCAACCCTACCAAGGCCACACAACCTTCGATAAACACCCGGTGACAAAAAGTGCCACCATTCGAATGAGAATCACCCGGAGGCAAGTCCCAGAAACCTCGTTTAACACGTGGGTTATATATAGGGGCCCCGTCGACAGCCGGGGTAGGGTTTTGAAATAAACAAAAAATTGCATCTCATATTCAGACGGCGATTGATCAACACTAACGCTTCCAGACACATTTAACAAGAACTGTAAATTATACCTGTATAATTTTTGGTCCATCTAGCCTTCTTCATTAACTCAACTAAATCGCCACCACCCTTCAAGTCCACTAGCTGGTACAGTTTGCTGGCTTCGGCATTTCCTTGGTTCTTGACACCGCTGGCTACAACCGCTGTGTTTCCCATAACTATAATATAAATCGACACGAGATAGTGTACAAGCACCTATCAATTATAATCTATTCCTTATAGTATTAGTACTCTAGCCATCTCTGAAATCATCACCAGCCGCCATTTTCTGATGCTCATTAAAAATCCAAACAATATGGCCGTGTCTCCTAGTAATGATAATAAATTAACAATAAATCAATTAGATTCCTTCCCTTCTGTGGAGGTAGGCTGCAATGGGTCCCTAACTCGCCTCTCTCTCTCTCTCTCTCTCTCTCTCTCTCTCTCTCTCTGCCTCCCCCTCTCTCTCTGTCTTGGCTGTACACTTTCAGACTTCTGATCGTCCATCACTTGATGTTGCGTCTCATCAGCTGTACATACATGTTGTCATTGTAACTTCTTCTTCTTCTGCGTTCGACATCAGTCATGCTAAACATTGAGTCCCGTCTGGGTCACAAATAGGATTGTGCGTTTTAGGTCGCCACCGGTCCCCCATAGCTTCTCTTTCAATGTGGCTCCCTTGGGCCAGAGGGAACTGTAAGTGTAACTGACACACAGTTTGTTGAGAAAGGTGGAGACAGGCATGCTCTGTGCAGAGGGAGTTAGCGCACGGCCGACTCTATTTATCTGGAGAAGGCGGTGGTTATTGTTATTTTGATATTTTTTTCCAAGTCATACTGCTGTGTTGGGGAATGAGCAGTCAGACAGACCGGCCGGTTCTACTCTACTTGGTGGTGAACTGGTATATGACAAACTGGATATTGTGAGGGACCGAAGTCTACTAGTGGACGAACAATTAAAAATTAGCGCCAAAGTTAACAGCTAGTGAACGCTTGGAAGAATAAGAATATAATTGGAGACAGCGGCGAACCTTGAGAGAATCCTAGGCAAGTGGTTATCGGTTCTGAGGACCAACAACCACACATGAGTACCAACCGTCTCTAAAACAGTGCCGCGGCTAGCCAGCGGATGATATGGGGAGATATTTCGGAGAAGTGTGTGAGCCAGTTAGTCAAATGGTACTCTGTTATACATCAAGAGAAATAAGCAATACATTAAAAATGAGAATTGTCAAATGTTATGTATTCTCGTCGGCTCTGTGGCTAAATCGATGCGAACGCTTCGCTTCGAAATGCCGGGATGCCGGGTTCGATCACAGTTGCGGGCAATGCGCCTTGCGTTGGTTTCGACAGTGGTATCAAGAAAGCCGACCGTCCAGTAAGCAATGGCAAACTACTGGACGTAAATTTGCCAAGAGAAACCACACAACAGCCAGGAGCTGTTAGGGTTGGTTCTGCAACGTCCTGTAAAGGATACGCAACTAACTTAACTTTATGTATTCTCAACCTTACTGTATGGCAAAGATACATGGACAATGAAACAACTGGAAAATCGTATCAATTCTTTGGAGATGTGGATATACAGAAGATTAGGTCGTATTTCATGGAAACAAAAGCTATCAAATACAGAGGTACAAAGGAAATTGGGAATGAAAAGAGAGTTGCTAGGTGAAATCAAAAAGAGACAAGTGAAATACATTAAAAGACATAACAGTATTGTAAAGATCATCCTAGAGGGAAAGGTTCAATGTAGGCGTGCAAAAGGCAGACAGCGTTACAAGTGGGAGGATAACATCAAGAGATGAACGAACAGCAGTATGAGTGAGTGTACATCAAGGGCAAGAGACAGGGCTTGTTGGAGATCCATTGCAGCCAACCTTCATTGTGGAGACGTCACTTGATTGATTGATTGACTCTGTTATACATATCCTCTAAGTCTAGTGCTGATACACATGTCTCTTCTATCAGCTCAAACCTTTCATAAACTTGACATGCAAAAAACTGCCGCATTGAGCCATGCCTCTTTGCTATGCCTGTATCCTCCAAGTGTGGATGGTAATCTTCAACATTTCTCAAAGTCGTCAGATAGTCTAAGAGCCAGTTTTCTCCAGAAGCAGGCTCGTAGTATTCTGGGTCATCATCGCCAATTCAGTGTCATCATCATCATCATTAATCAGGTCCTGTGTAGAATGTCCTTCTCAATACGGTCTGCCTAAAAGAAACCCGGTCTCTTGCCAGGTCTTTTTCCTCGTGTACTTGCATATTCAAGGAGTCACTTATATTATGTGCCCATCCTTGTGTTGACAGGCCCCTGCCCCCCCCCCTCCTTTTCCCCCTTCCCGGTACCAGTTCCCTATGGCGCTTGATATGACCACAATATTTTGGCTTTAGAGAGAAGCTGCCAATCTTCCTTGATGTTCAGATCTTTTAAAATATCATTACTTCTTCTCTTCTTTGTCCATTGTATTCTGAAAATCTATCGATAGTATTTCGTGCAGTAGCTAAAATTTTCATTAAAATATCCTCAAGATTGTAATTTGGAAATAAAGTGTTCACCATGTTTACAGAATACATTTTTGTTAGTTAATATATTGTACAGTCACTTCTCTAAGGCATGCTTTCATTGAGTATCATTATTTGAAACAGTATCCTGTTTACACCTGTTTGGCTAAGTTTACGTCAGAATACGGTGTCTAATTTGTTACTCTTTATCGATTTTGTCTCTGTAGGGTGACCATAAATCCCGTTTTTACCGGAACAGTGCCGTTTCCCCGTCAATTGTCCTCTTGTGTAAAATTACAATCTAGGAATAAGCGCGAGAACACACACATAAGGTAAAAAAAAAAAAAGGTTAAACTAGATAGTATAGACTGAAAGAGAACTGAAAGCCAACTGAAAGAGAAAATATATAGATCTAGACTATTCACCACATTAGTTAGCCAATGTTGAATTAAGAATCGACATCATAGCACTCGGGACACTCTCACAAGTGCTCCGTCCCCCTCTTTAGCTGCAAGCGAAGAGTTCCAATTCCGATGGCACCAGTAGCCGTCTGATTGTATAGCCGTCTCATTCCTCCCCTGAGTGTTGAGCGTCGGCCACATCCCCTGGTAACTCCTCGCAGCATCATTCTCCTCAGACCATAATGATATATCTGCGCATTCGCACTGTTCACTCGTTCCCAAAGGGCCCTCACAATATTTAGCTTGTCGTACAACAATTCACCATCAAGTGGTGCACAGCCGGCCAGTCTATCTGCTTGCTTATTTCCCAACACACCGGCATGCCCAGGAGAAAATATCCAAAGGATGCTAACAACACGGGACCTCTGAAGTGATGCTTGCCACTCTGCACGCAGCGTGTCTGTCTTCACCTTTCTCAACAGACTCTGTCCTACAATCACGGCATGTGTGTACAGCTGATTCTCAAACCATCGGAAGGCAGCAGAGACTGCCTCCACCTCCATTCTCAAACTAGATGTTGTGATATCATATGCAAGGCTTTGCTGTACTAGGCGACGTCCATTCGACTTTGCTATGAACCCCCATGCACTTCGTCTGCCCCTCAACACAGAGCCATCTGTATTGATTAGTGAAGCCAGTAAAAACAAGGTATGCAGTCCAACTAGAGCCAAACGTTTTAGTAATAATTTATTAATATGACTTATACAATTTATAGATCCTATTTATTATATTCATGCATTAGTTTTCTAAAAATTAATAATTGTTAAGAATGACTGCAGCGGGTGGGTGGGTGGAAAAAAAGGGGGAGCTGACTTGCTTGGGATGCCTCGTTTTCAACTCGATTTTATTATTCTGGTCATTATATCTCTGATTACGCCCAATATATTCTTCTTTTTCTTTTTTTGCATTCACCATCTGTAAACTCTGTGCGGAATGTGCTGGTTGTTCGTCCACTTCTGGATTGCAGTCCTGTTCCAGAACCTGAGTGTTGCGTGTGCATCCGTTTTAGAGATCTGACTCTTTTGTATCCTGCTGGTTCCTTGCCCATCAGACAGAGGTACCCCGACTTCAAAGGAAGCTCCCAGTTAGTCGACTCTTACGACATGCTTTTGGGTAGGCAGTGGGTCTATTCTTGTTTTCCCTATAATAAATAGGACCCCGGAACCCACACGGGGAGATTAATACATTATAATCTTTTTTGATCCAGTGCAGTGTTTGTTTTGCTATTATTGTTCTTCTTATTCTTCTCCTCTCCGAATAAATTCAAAGAGATGATTATCTTCTTAAACGACAAGATACAAAATATATTATAAAAACTAATTTTTGGGTTCAAAATTAAACCTTTAAGTCTTCACTTCCGGGTAAACATGGTATCCTAGCAACCAATGTGGCGGCGATAACAACTGCTCCACCACTGGCAATATTATGCCTAGCTGGTGTGGAACTGTCGCCGGTTGAACAAAACAAGACTGAATTCTCACATAAGTCATTTTAGTGGCTTTATCAGGTAGCTTCTCTCTGTGATTGGAGATGACGGCGATTTCAACGGGAGGTGGTCCAACTTTGGAACAAAGAAGAGCCTTCACGGGACTGAAGGATGGCGCAGAGGTTCCAGGGTAGGCGTTGATTCCATTTCATTAATGTCATTATTGTTTAGATGATTAGAATTGTCCTGCAAAAGTGTAAAATCAGGCTAAACAAATGTCATCCTAAATAACTTACACTAATGTGCATACATAGGCCATTAAATGAGTCATATTATGACAGTATCTTGATTTATTTCGACCCAGCGTCACTTTCATCATTCATTCAGTTACCTGTCTTTACTCTTTGAATTTAACGACAGTGAGTCATTGCATTAAATACCAGGTGATGGCCAATTACTGTCTCAGGCCCTTGTTTATACTCTGCCAGACTGCTGTTCGTTACCTTTTGATGTTGTTTTTCCACCCCAGGCACTCAACTGGTTACCTCTTCATGACTGCATTAATAATAATACCTTTCCCCAGTAAAGTTTTTGTAAAAGTGCATGCCTTTTAATTTTAATGAAACCTTAATATTTCAGTTCCTTTTTTTGGTGCTTTTTTTTCGTCAGCTCACTTCTCATTGATAATCTCTCAAGGACCTCTGTATTTGTTTTTTACCCCGTGAAATATTATATCTTATTATAATGTTCACAAAACCTCAAAACTGACTTTCCAATTCCTTGTTCATTTGTACGGCTCTATACAGCAGATAAATATATGTATGCATATTCTCCCATTATCATCATCATCATGTAGCAGGTCCTTTGCAGAACATCACTCTCATCACAGTCTTCCTGAAAGAAACTCAGTCTCTCGCCAGTTCTCCCGCCTCTTGTGCTTTCATACCCAAGGAGTCACTGATATCCTGTGCTCATCTTCGTGTCGGTCGGCCCCTGCTTCCTGGTACCATGCCTTCTGCTATATTTTTTTTCCAATCCGTTGTGGTGCTTGATATGACTAAAATATTTCAGTTTTCGAGAAAGGATGCTTTTTATTAGCCAATCTTCCTTGATGTTCAGATCTTTTAAGATGTAAATATTTCTCCGATACATGAATATAAATAACAAAATAATTTTTATGTGAGGCTGTGTTAATTGTGAAAAGAGAAAGTAAGAAAAATAAATACCCTTTCATTGACATCTTTGTAAAGGCAGCGTAGAGTGGAGTTTGGCATGAAGTCTGTTAACAGCTTTTTGTCCTGTGTCACCATCAATCAGCAAGTTCTTTACAGAACGTCACTTTCTTCAGGGCATGCCTGAAAGTCACCCTTTCCCTAGCCAGCTCTCCGGCCCTGTGTACTGCCAACAATTTCCGACAAAGTTGTACCTTCTTGTCATAAAAACAAATTAATCTTTCACTTGTTGGTCTCTCTTTCTTCAACAACCATCTAATTTTTTATGTGTGTTAATTTGTGCATTCCTCTAAAAGAGCCACGTGGCGTAGTGACTAGACACTCACTGTCTTTAGCCTAAGGTGTCGTGGGTCCAAATCCTGAGGTGAATTGTTTTGAAAAACCACATTTCATACTAATTGTATGAGGTATCCAGACCCAAAAAAACGAGGCATAAATTACTTCTCCTTCTTCTTGAACTCCATGCCATGTGGCATTGGTAGTCATGTCTATCCACAACCTTCTGCCTTGTGTACTTTCAATCAACTCTGACACAGAGGATCTTCCATGCCATGATGTCAGACTGTTTGCACCTGTTCTCTCAGTCTCCCTCTGCCTCTTTTCCTCTCCAGCTTTCCTACTGTCACGATGTGCTACAGTTTTCATCTTCTCATCACCTGACCAAAGAATGTAGATTGTCTCTTTCTGATGTGGGCAATCAATTCTCTTTGTGAGCCAGTTTCTTTCAAGACATCTTCATCACTCGTTTTATCTGTCCAAGGTATTCTCATAATTTTCATCATTAATTACTTTAAACTAACAATTTATTAAAACAGAAAGATGTAAATTAAAAAAAATTATCTAACTTACAGTATTCACTAGTTTCATGTGGAAGTTAATCTTTTAGTGCCAGCAAATCTTCTTTATGTTCTTCAATGGAAATTCCAGCAGAAAATTCTGGTTGTTCGTCCACTTTTAGATCTTAGGCTTGTTCCAGAACTTCAGTTTTGTTTGCACATCAGTTTTACAGATCTGGCTTATTTGTAAGCAAACGGTTTGTTTCTAAGGTATATATACGCTAGCTTTTGAAGGAAAAACATATAATTAGTTGACTATTAAGATGAGTCAATTCCCCCTCCCCCCTCCAAACTGGGCCCCAGCACCTACTCTGGGAGGTGCAGTAAATAATTTCTTTAATTCTTTTTATTATGAGAAGTTCTCATAAGTTCAGTTTCATAAGATAATTACCCATGCTCGAGTGAAGCAGTAATGACATCAATAAAGCTATAAGTGTATTACATCTTCAGGGTCCAAATACATAAGCCTTGTAAGAGGCAGAAGTGTATTCAAGGTGCTTACTGAATGTACAATATACAAACATTCATAACATAATGATGGGTGCACATGAGTGATATCCTGTCAAACATGGTGCATTGTTTGGTACTGAACTCTTTCTGGACAAATCGTGACTGAGGTGCCAGCTGAATATGTCATATTTAGACATAATGGTAATGGGAGACAGTAATGCCCCAGATTGCTGGTCAGGAAAGTGTTAAATGGACTTCTGGTCCAATATAGAGGACTAGGCATGTCAGAATGTTTAGCTTCGAAGTTATATTTGCTTCTGACAGCACTTTGCTAATTCAGTTTCCATACATGGATGGAAGTCTACGCCTTAGCTACTGAGTTGAGTGCTTGGTGCAGCACTGTGAACATGTGGAATACTATTCATTTGTGCAGCGGTTGAATCATTGTTTTCAATTAGGCTGATAGCTGGTTTATGTGCAGGCTGGCAAAATACTTTATGTAATAATTTTACATGCAAATAGCCAGCTTATCATGACCGACTACTTCCGTCAATGACTAATTGCATTTCTGGTGGCGACTGTTGGCTTTGGCACCTCTAGCAACTGTCATGCATTTATTGCAAGCACATATCTCTAGACTGTGTTGGGACCAAGTGTTTGTTCACCAGTTGTTACAAACTGGACAGTGAGGGACATTTGATTTGATCTTTGCAGGCACAGGAACAGAGCAATTAGGGGTGACTCATTTGCAGTGAAGTTGAAACCTTAACTATGACTACAACTAAAACTAAGTGGCTCTGACATAGGCACAATAATATTGTTTTGTTTGCTGGGAAAATTGATTTGTATGAACCTGTTTTGAAAAAAATGTAGTTAGCGAAACAAAGTATTTCTTTTGTCCAAGGATTAAGTTTGAAGCTGTTCTACAGTGCAAAACAAAGTGTCTATGTTTTTTATTTGGTGGTTCTGAAATTTGACATGTCACACAAAAATGGTCATAAAATCTAAAGTATTTAGATTAACTGTCTCAAAAAAAGATACATAATTTAATAGAGAAGGCATGTGAATTCTCAGATGTGGATATCAGTGTTATCGTTGCTGATCAAGTAAAAAACTAAGATAAGTTCAAAACTTTGCTTGTCAAAAATCTTCATGTGTGTCTAACATCCTTGAATGTTGTCTCATTTTAATACTTTACTGTTGCAATACTGATCCCTTAATAGTTTAGATGTAGTTTCTTTATTAATTCCTCTTTAATTTGATACAATATCTGTCACGATACAGCCAGTACGTTAAGTTTTAGCTTTGTCATGTTGCAGTAAAACAAATTCCACTCAAAATTCATTCTGTCCAGAAATGAGATGCACTTATATTTTAAAAGGCTACAATTTTGTTTGCAGATACAGAGGTTATATCCCACAGATGAAATACAGAGTGGGAGGAACATATGGACATGAAACCAGTGCTCTTAGCAAGGTACAGATGTTATTTGTTTTGTTTTGTTTCATGTCAGAAATGAAAGATAATATGGAAATATATTTCAAAAGCACATAGCTAAGGATTTATGTAATAAACGTTTCTGGAAGAGAGAAAGTGTACAAGAGATGGGAAATAATGTTTATAAGACAGGCGTGTCAAAGACAGATCTGTTAGTTAGTTAGTTAGTTAGTTAGTTAGTTAGTTAGTTAGTTTAGTTAGTTAGTTAGTTAGTTAGTTAGTTAGTTAGTTAGTTAGCTAGCTAGTTAGTTAGTTAGTTAGTTAGTTAGTTAGTTAGTTAGTTAGTTAGTTAGTTAGTTAGTTAGTTAGTTAGTTAGTTAGTTAGTTAGTTAGTCGACATATTATCCTCATTGCACATCAAACAGTTCAGTCCATAAGTGCTTTGATGACACCAGTCCTGTGTTGGTTTCTTATTCTTCTTTGGCTTCCTGCTCTTGTCTGGCCACACCACTTTTAATATGCTGTTCTTGCAGTCTGGTCATTTTTGCAAGACATATGTGTAAGACAGGTGTGTGAAACACAGATGCATGTAAGGCAGGTTCGTGTTTGGAACACAGGTGAGTGTAAGATAGGCAAATGTAAGTCAGTTTGTGAAACACCGGTGTGTGTATGACAGGTGTTTGTAAGACAGACAGTCAGACTGAAACACATCGTGCAGACAAACAGGTCAATGTAGGGGGAGAGATTTCTTTGTTAAAATACTCAAAATAATTTACATTATATTTGCCAAATTGACAGACAGACAGATTATTCCATAAAGCAAACAGTCTGCACAACACTGGGTTTTCGGAATACGTACTTAATCTGTTCCTGATTCTTGGATGTATACCAAATATTAACTGTACCAAATAAATTGTCTCTTAAGAAATAAAGGGAGAATGGGTAATGTGTTCTTTTTTAAAAACCGGGTATTAGAGAATGATAAAACCAGGTACATGATAAAACCAGGTACCTGATAAAACCAGGTACATGATAAAACCATGTACACAACAACTAAGCCACTAATGTCTTTGTTTACTAAAACTTTACATTAATATTCCAGGAGTATGGGATGAAACGAGGGGCAACTACTCTTGGTTCTTGCCAACCAGAAGTTGTTGTAAATCGCCTGCCATCCACGACCGAAGACAGAAAGTTTACAGAGAAAATGGTGCCAGGCTACACAGGTGGGGCTATACTCTTATTCTAACCTAAACCTTATGTATAAAATAAACAAAGAGACAGTATATTGATTGGCACTCATAGAAAGAAGTAGAAAAGAACCAGGAATCGAATCAGTCACAACTAATGCATCTCACAAAATTTTTGTTGTTGTTGAGGTTTTTGAACAATGGATCAGCATCATGGCGCACAGGTAGTAACCCATAAATGCTCCGTTCTTCTTCTGTCTCAAGTCCGAGTCCGAAGAAGCTCAGCACAGTGCACAGGCTCTGTAGCACCGGCAAGAATCTTGAAATACTTTGGGTAGATTTTTGTAAACTCAAAATTGTGCCTGGGCAGCACTGTTAGGCTACTCTTTTCGATTTCCAACTGCCAAGGGATTTTTTACTAGCGCAACAATACACATGGGTGTCCGTCTCACTACCCAGAGACCAGGTGAAATTACTAGAAGTCCACGTCCACGAGAAAAAATCCCAGCCCTTACCGGGGATTGAATCCAGAACCTCCAGCACTTGAGATGGACACCACGCCTTGAGACAAAGCGGGCTCCTGCATCTCACTGTAGAAACAAGTGTAGTAAGCGCATGATCAGCTAGGTACCCCTAAAAGAATGTGTCTTCATTAGCCACATCTATTGTACTTCTTGAAACCCACAGCTTTGGAATATGGAGAGAATTCACCTCAAACCACTAGGGTGAGCTATAGGCTACAGAAATCTATATTAAGAAAGCATGGGTTAAAAAAAATCAAATACAACACTTATAAATACATCGAACCATAATGATATGTCTAGAATACAACGCACATTTAAGAAAGAGCCATGGAATATAAAAAATAAAAGAAAACACATAGTATGGGCCCAGAAAGTACTAGAAATTACATTCTTTTCATTTTTACATTATTTGATTTCTCTTTTTCTTATTATGTTTTTTGTTTACATGATTTACATTTTCTGTTGACTGTCAAGGCTATGTTCCACGGCTGCTGTTCAGATATGGCGGGACCTACCGACATGACTGTGATCACAGCATTGATGACTTCATAACCAACAGGGATAGTTACGCTGCAAGGCAGGAAGAGCTACTGCGGCACACTCTGGCAAACCCCAAGTTGACTGCTATCTCTTACGACCCTGAAGTGAGAGATAAGCTTAACCAATACAGAGATACTCATCCATCGGCAACTACGCTACGTGGTAAGTTGGGTTTATGTTGCAGTCAATATCCTGTTTCAAAAGATTTGAACTTCAAGGAAGATTGGCTTTGAAACAGCATCTTGTCTTGGAAACTGAAAGGAAACATTTTGGCCACATCAAGCACCACAGTGGATTTAAAAAAAAATAATAGCAGAAGGCTTGGTACCAGAAGAGAGGGCAAGGGGCTGATATGCATGAGGATGGGTAAGGGATATAAGTGACACCTGGGGCTGATGTGCACGAGGTGTGAGATGTGGTGAAATACCAAGTTTCATTCAGGCAGATGAGAGCGATGTTCTGTAAAGCACCTGCTGTTTGATGAGACAGTGATCCTACAGCTACTGATTTGTCTACAGTTTCCCCCAAGTGGGTTCCATGGCCTCATTTTTTTGGGGTAAAATAGACCCACTGTTACCCTAACAAGCATGAAATAATAGGTGACTAATTAGGGAATTTCCTTCAAAGTCAGGGTGTGTCTGCCTAAAATTAGAGGAACCAACAGTCTGCACAGAAATAAACCAGACCTGTGAAATGAGTTTGTATGCAAAGCTCAAGGTTAGGAACAGGACGAGAGGCTAGAAGTGGATGAACAACCAAAATTTTCTGCCAGAGTTTACAACCAGTAAACGCTAAGAAAAATAAGAAGACAAGTCTACCTTTGGCAGTCCAAGCTGTTCTTATAAAAGTGCTCGTTTAAAAAAAAATATCATTACAAAACAAATAAATGGCTTCTTTTTATTTCAATGACATATTGTTCATATTATGCTAGACTTGAATTTTTATTTACCAGTTTGGTGCCCGGCTCTCTAGCGTAGTTGGCTAAACCGGACTGCGCGGTGACCGGGTGACAAACTCCTTGTGGCCAGGGTTCACGCCCAGGGGTAGGTAGGAAAGCCACATTTCTCCCAGATTTACGGTATTTATCATGGAATCAAGGCCAAAGGGTTGCAATATCCATAATACCGAGCCTAAGGGTTAACAACTCATGGCTTCTGGATGTAAAAAAAATAAAAAAATATATACCAATTTGGTCAGTATTACGCCAGCTGCCTCAACTTTCCAGGAAAAAATCTGGTACCTATTTTGTGATGGGCAAACATGGGAGCTAAGTTACATTTTTTAAAATGGCCTCAGAAATATTTTCCATGTTATCATAAACAGTGGGTCCCCCGTGTGGGTTCTGGGGCCCCATTGTGGGGAAAACAAGAACAGACCCACCGCCTCCCCAAAAGCATGTCGTAAGAGTCGACTAATTGGGGAGCTTCCTTTGAAGTCGGAGTGCATCTGCCAGAGAGGCAAGGAATCAACAGTCTGTATTCAAGAGAATGAGATCTGTAAAACCGATGCACACGCAACACTCAGGTTCTGGAGCAGAACTGCAGTTCACTAATGGACGAGCAGCCAGAACTTTCCGCCAGATTGTACAGCTGGTGAACGCAAAGAAGAAGAAGAAGATAAACAGTGTGTTGTATTTTCTATGTAAGAAATATTTTCCATGTCATCACCAGCTAATAGTATTTTCTGTGTCCATTGTAAGAAATATTTCCTATGTTATCACCAACAACTGATTTTAGTTTCTATGTGCACAGTAAGAAATATTTCTTATGTTATCACCAACAACTGATTTTAGTTTCTGTGTCCACAGTAAGAAATATTTCTTATGTTATCACCAACAACTGATTTTAGTTTCTATGTGCACAGTAAGAAATATTTCTTATGTTATCACCAACAACTGATTTTAGTTTCAGTGTCCACAGTAAGAAATATTTCTTATGTTATCACCAACAACTGATTTTAGTTTCAGTGTGCACAGTAAGAAATATTTTCCATGTCATTACCAACAACTGATTGTATTTTCTGTGTGTAGAGTAAGAAATGTCAGTTTCTGTGGCCTAGGTGTTGTAAACACGCTTTGTAATACCGGGCGGCCTGGTTCGATCCTAGCTGTGGACGATTTGTCTTGCGTTGGTTTCGGCAGTTGTACAAAGCGCTGACTGGCAAACTACTGAACATAAAATTTGCCTAGAAAAACCACACCAGACAAAAAATGATAGGATTAGTTCTGCAACGTCCTGTAAAGGATACACAACTAACTAACAGTAAGAAATATTTTCCATGTTATCACCAACAAAAAGGTGAATTTGCTATATGCACAGTAAGAAATATTTTCCATATTATCACAAACTAATTGTATTTTCTAGGTGTACAGTAAGAAATATTTTACATGTCATTACCAACAACTGATTATACTTTCTGTGTGCACAGTAAAACATACTTTTCACATTATCACCAACAGCTGACAGAAAGCCTCTGAGAGAGCCACCTGTGCCTGGGTACCAAGGATTTGTGCCTCGGGTCAATACCACTGAAGTTGGCTTAGGCAAGACCTACCACCGCAGCACTGACAATGGGCTGGACCTCTTCAGCAGAGAGCAGCAGCAGCATCACCACAGATTGATGAATAATGCCAGCTTTTTACAGCCTATTACTCTGGGAAAGTGAGTGCAGCTAGACAGACTTACAGACAGACAGACATATAGGCAGACACAGGCTGAGGTGGGTGGGTGGGTGAGTGAGTGGGTGGGTGTGTGTGTGTGTGGGTGTGTGTATGGGTGGCTGGGGGAGTGGGTGCATGCATGCGTGCATGCGTGTGTGGTGAGGGGGGGGGGGTGCATGTGTGCACACACACCTTCACACATGTGTGTACACACACATAACTATATATAAATATATAGGTATGTATGTGTGTGTATATATGTATATATATATATATACACATGTGTGTGTGTATATGTATATAAGCACATAAATTCATACACACATATCTATAGGCTGGCAAGCAGGTAGGTATGCAGACAGGGAAACAGACAGGCAGGTGGGTGTTTAGATTAGACTGACAGACAGGTAGGTAGGCATATAGGGACAATTATTAAGGGAAAAAGATTTACATTTAAGTCAGGTTAGTTGCGTATTCTTTACAGGACGCTGCAGAACCAACCCCAACAGGCCCTGGCTGCTGTGTGGTTTTTCTAGGCAAATTTACGTCCAGTAGTTTGCCATTACTTTCTGGACGGCCGGCTTTCTTGATCCCACTGTAGAAACCAACGCAAGGCGCATGGCCCGCAGCTGGGATCGAACCCGGCATCCCGGCATAACAAAGCGTTCACATCGACTTAGCCACAGAGCCGACACATTTAAGTAAAGGCAATGTAAATTTGAAACAGATGCATGTGGTTGACATAGCAACTTCTGAACTGGAGAGATGCACACCTGATACAAAGAAAGAAGCAGGACAAAGGAGGAGTAGAAGGAAGGGAAGATAAATAAGAAGATGAAGAAGAAGCAGAAGAGAAAAGAAGTCAAAGAGAAGGAAGGAGGAGAATAAAGAAGAGGAGGAGGAATAAAAAAAATAAAAAGGAGGAGAAGCAGTAGAAAAGAATAAGAGAGGAAGGAGAAGATGCTGAAGATGTAAACCTTTTCATTTCCTTCTGCACTCATTAAGTACTAAACAAAGCTTCATGTTTTATGTTTGCTTCAGATGTGATATAATTGTTTATTTCTGCATCTCTTCTTCATGTTTCTGAGTTATCTTATTGACACTCACAAGTTTACAACCTTAAAGTGACATTGCTTTAGAAGCGACATCTGCCTGCCTCTCCAAAATTTGTGGTCTCTTACAGCACGTATCAGTTGGTGCGCTGTCACTCTTAAATGCCACGATAAAAGATCAAGAACTAACCTATGTTGTCATCCTATATCTCTCTTTCCACAAATCTTTCCAGTTGTCACATATTCCTATTTCTTTCTTCTCACGATGTGGAGAAAAAAATAATGACTGCCTCTTTCTGATGTTTGTGATAAGTTTTCGCTGTTTTAAAAACGTAAGGATTATTCTTTTTTTTGTATCCAAGGAATTTGGAGCACTTTCTGTGCAACCAGGAAAGTACATGTTTATACTTTTGTCCCCAGTGCACCAGTAGACTTTACAGCTAATATGACACGGCCTGGTATGGATTTTAGCACACGTGTTTATGCCAAAAGTGGCATGATTCCCAAGTATACAGGATACATTCCACGTAAGCACTCTATGGTTGTGTTTTCAGTGTATCTCCTACTTGTTCTTGAAGTTGTCAGCTTGTCCTTTTTAGTGCATATACAAAAACTTATATTTTTATATCAGTTTACCCTTTGAACTCTTATTTGCCTTCACCTCCAGACATTCTTAGTTGAAAAGGGCTGACTTTTATAATTTAAAGAAAGAAGCCAAAAACAAGGGATTGATAATTTATGACTTTTATATTTCGCTGTATCCTGGAATGTGTATGCTACAGTAAAAATTGAATACAATTACGAAAATATGAGGGAGCTTCAAGTGAAATGCTTAAAGGTGGTATAGAAATTAAACAACATACCGTTATCCACTAACCTGCCAATGACCATACTAAACCTCTTGTTGAATGGGTTCTTTTGTGAGGTTTGTTCATTTAGTCTATATCATACACATTTTCATTTATTTGTATGGCACTTATTAAGTTCCTTTTTGAACAATGTGTGGCAAATGAATCAAGGAGTTGATGTATGAGTAAATTCATCCATATAGAATGCTTGTTATAGAATATAGAAGTGTGTGTCCTTTGATAAAATTATTCTCACGTTAGAAGCTGGTGGAGTGCTGGAGAACAAATCTGTCCAACACTCTTTGTGTAGTAGACACATCTGTGTACACATTTTGCAATATAGAGATGCTGGTCAGGGACTAATCAAGAGAGATAGTATAGGCAGTAGGTAGTGGGTTAGGGCAAAGGATGTAACTCAATATGTTTTAGGCAAAACTGTGTTGGACATTAAGGCTGTTGGGAGAAAAAGAACCCAATTGACAAATAAGACGAGTCTTAAGAGACTTGCGAACTCTTTCATTCAAATAGCTATACTTGTGTCCGTATGACTTCGATGCCACCTGGTGGCTCTAAGAATTAAAATTGAGACATTTCATATGCGTATGTTTATGTGTGAACTGATACTTTGTGAGATACATTGCATGTCTGTGGATTTATCTAACTGATACTGTGTGGAATAAATTTCAAAGATTATCTGTGAGCTAATACTATTTTTTTATACATTTTATGTGTCGCTGTACCTTCTGGTAAAAATGAAGGTTAGGCACATTCACTGTTTTTAGTTGTGGCAAATTTTTGCTTCTGACAGATAGTGGCCATTGCATTTTTTATCCATTAGTAGACTGAAAGGATATATTTTGTTGCCCAGCTACTGAGTTGAGCGCATGGTGCAACACTGTGAGCTGTGGTATTCATTTGGAATATTTTTCAACTGTCACCAACGTGGTGTTGTAAACTGTGGATTAAAAAAATTACGAGTGATCTGTTGCCACAGAATTATTGGTGCCTTGTGTGATAAAAATTAGTTGCGTGAGCAATTGCTGATCTGTTTGTGGTTAGTGAACTGCATTTCTACTGTCATACTGTTTGTGTTAGCACTTCTAATGGTTGCCTTATGCTTCTAATGCATGTGTATGCTAATGGATATTCTGAGATGGCAGTCTGTGTCAATTTTTTCCACAAGGGACAGTGATGGGCATTCTGAGTGTTTTAATTGTCACAAGAGTTATAAAGCTAAAACTAAGATTACCAAGATGTCAGTTGTTGTTGTTGTAGAACTTCCTATGCCACTCACACACAGGCATGCATCACCATACTGGAATTCCCTCACTGATGAATTTCTGTAGGTTTCACTCATTCACTGATCATAAAAGAGAAAAAAGAACACTGCTTCTCTCCAGTGCATGTCAGAAGTGGGGCATTCATCTTGAAACTGTCATTATGACATCACCATGTTCGTCTGCACCATGATGTCATGTGCTTAACACTCTTGACATCCTTAACAACAATATTTACAGGTTATAAGACAGGGCATGATTATTGTAATTTCTATTACACTTTCATTTAAAGCACCTTTGTAAATGAATCCTTTTAATTAAAATACAAAAACAACCACACCCAGTTGTTACTGAAGTATGCATCTGACGAGATACAGCAAAATAAAGAAATTGTGCAAGCTTCTGCTGTATTTTCTGTGTTCACATTTACAGCAAGGAAACACTCCTGTGGCCACTGAGCCAATAGGCAACATGCTGTCCACTTCACTACTGCAACTTTTCATTTATATCAGCAGGATGAATTGAAGAAGAAAAAAAGCTTGGTAAAAGATAGCTACAGTCGAAAGGTTTGACTCCAGTACACTGGTTTCATCCCATACACCTCTTCTCTCTCTCACACTATCTCTCTCTCTCTCACTCTCTCAGCAGGTCAGCAAGCCCCTTGCTGAAAGAATCACTCAAAACACAGACTGTAGCTTTAAGTGCAATTCCCAAAGACCTCCATAAAAATTACACCCATGAACTTAACGACAAGTCAGTGAAAAAATCTCCTGGCCTTCACAGTGCATGGTAAATGGCTTAACCACTTCCCAATGGAAACCTCTTTTACTTGGCTGGATCCGCTATCACTGCTGAAGGTCAATCCATGGATCATGCTGATATTATTAATGCCCTTAGAGAAATGGGAAGGGTGGAGGACTTTCAAGACAGCGATTCCATGTCGCTCACCAGAATGAAAGATCTGGGATTTAAGATCAGCATTGCCAAAAGCGAAAGACAAACCGGGCATACAAAAAGACTTATCAATCAACAAAGAACTGGCACTATTAGTCACAGGGTTCATATTGAGGGAAGGATCTGAGCTATGGATATATCGGGAGTGCAATGATCATATCCCAACTAACTAACTAACTAACTAACTAACTAACTAACTAACTAACTAACTAACTAACTAACTAACTAACTAACTAACTAACTAACTAACTAACTAACTAACTAACTAATTGACTAACTAACCTCTTTTACTCAAAGATACTAACTACCAAATCTTACAGCTCAGTTAAAAAAAAAAAAAAAGCTAAAAGTGAAAGACTTTAAAAAAAAAAACATTTAACTGATGTTATTAGTGCAGAATCCATATTTTTTATTGGGTTATGTTGTTAATATTACGCTGACCATCTTTGACTGCCAGGACATTTCCTGGCACTCCTTTTAGGCTGGGCCAATGTGGCCAGGTCGGTCAGCGCTCTTATCTTGCCCTACCAATTTGTTTTTTTAGCCTGTGAACACTAAGAAGAAAAAGAAGAAGAGGTAGACTAGTTTAGAAATCTTGTCTAAAAAAGAAATAATCATCGAGATAGGAGCAGTAAGAATGAGAAAAAAGTTAACAAAGATTTACCTCATCTGCTGTAATTGTTCACAGATCGGCGATTTGTGTTTGGCCACACTTATGGAGATGAAACCCGCAGCTTGGAGGTTTGTGCTCACGATGCACCAAACTTTGGAGTGTATACCAGGTCGAAGACAATGGCCTGATAAAATGGCCGCAGTCTGTGCCTGCTACATGAAACCAGCTACTTGAAATTTTTTTTTTTTTAAACTTTAGTTTTACACTAATTGCCCTTTAAAAAAAATTAAAACATAGGTGGTCTTATTTTGAATGGTGATTTGTTACTGTTACATTTAAATCAATATTTTTATTTCTCAATATCTTCTGCCGATTTTTCTAAAAGATAAATCTTTATTTTTATTTTACTAGTTCTTATTTTTAAACTCTTTTATCCAAGACAAAGCTTAATGTTCGATGCCTTTTTGTCATGAATCCTAAACAGCATGCAGTAAATTTTCTTACTTGTTTACATTTAGTTAAATCATAGTAAGGAAATCTGGCTTTCATGCTGCTCACTATGAACGTAATGAATTAATGATTTTATCTGTGGCTATGTCTCCAACTGAGCAAGTACTGCAAAACTTCTGGAATTAATATTGTTAAAATAAATAAGAACCTTTTCTATTTTGCACAATATTTCCTGTTTTTCACATATTCTTTAAGACTAACTGACTTTTAAAATGCATTTCTGAAATTAAAGTACTCTGGCCATGGCAAGCATTGCTTGGGGAAGAAGAGTAATGAAGGCCAGATTTTTGTTGGCTAAAATCTACTATACACTGGAAGCCAAATTTTTGTTGGCTGAAATTGACTGTGCACTTTAATCAAGATTTTTCTTGGCCAAAGTCTTGATTTACGGGCCCAAGTGTTATGCCTCTCCATATGGTAAACTTGCTTTGTTGAGCTATAGGGGAATCACAACATTTACTAATAATGCAAGGCTTACTGAAACTTTTAAAAAATAAATATAATTATGGGATAGCTGTCAATAAATGTGTGGCGAACATGACAGAAACAATGTGACTGCAGGCAGACCGGTATAAGAAACTGATCCAGTGAACTATGACTTAGAAGCTTAACAACGGTGGCAGGAGGGGAAACACACATACGCAGAAACAATAAAATGTTAGGGCAGCAGTCTTTATTGAGAAAAACCACAGGAACAAGAGGGAAGAGTATTCTGGCTTTCTGGTGTTCTATGAGGAGAATAATATACTCAACACAGGACCTACTACACGATGATATCAATGCAGATGTCTGTGCTCATCAACAAAAATAAAAATACACATTCTGAGCTTGATTTTTCTGTTAAATTTTGTATAGGATTTGGTAATCACTCAAATTATTCAGATCTATTTTTCATCATACAGTACATCTATCTAACCTTATCCTGTTGCCACATAATGCATTCACAAGTGACCTCCACCGGTCTATTGCTTTTCAGTCCTTTTTACACTTCATTTCCCTGTCCACTGTCACTCTCTAGGTTTCCCACACTGATAAAAATATTTAGTCTCTCACTGTTCATCCATTACATTCTTTGAATCTAATTTGGCATTACAAGTCTTGCAGAAGTTAAACATTCTTTTTTTTTTTCAATGCAGCTGACACCCGTTGTTTTTTTAGTGTTTGCGTTATGAATTACTTTCTTCTTTTGCCTACGGCTTATGCCAAAATTATCACAAAGAGGAGTTAGACGTAGTTTCTTGTCTTCTGCTAGTTGTATAACTTGTGTTAATATCATACTCCGATTCTGTAGTTTCTCTTTTACTCCCCCCACCCATCTCTGTTTTGGTCTGCCTCATGTCTTCATAATAACTGCCTGCTGTATTTATGAATCATCACCTGGCTGTTAGGCTATCAGTGAGGTTATCCTTGTGGCAAACCAGAGGCGCATTGATTCCTCACTCTACATACACATCAGCTAATAGTTCCAGATCTAGTTGGCAGACATCTCGTATACTGCAGGACTCCCGTGCTTGGCTGTGCCAAATTTTACTCCCAGTTCGCACATTCTTAGCAACGATGTAGATGTACTACCCTAAGAGTCCTCTGATCGTCTTATCTCTAGTGCCAGTGTTCTCTCTTATAATTTAATTCCAAACCCACTTGTTGATCGTGTGTGACTAATGTCTCCACTAAATAATTGCAGATACTCTTCACGTCTGTAGTCATTACTTTATCACCTGCATATCTTACATTGTTAATGTTATGTGTTTGCCTGAAAATTTCCTTCATGTCTTAAAATGTGTTTTTACTATTCCCACTATATCTGGAAGAAAAGATTTCACGGCATGGAAAAAGAATTTTGTGACTTAATTCATCCCTCCTGGATTTTGTTCAAGTTTTGTGATTCTGTTAAATATTTACATATAACGAGTATCATAAGTGGGAATGGGTTTTTTAATATTCTCTTGAAATAATATATGGTATTACTTATTGGCTTTAACAATATACTCTCTTTATCAGTATTACTATTTCTTATTATTTAATATTAAAGTCAAATATCTTCATATTATCAAGTGTTCAGTGATAACTTTCAACTTTTTGTAAATGTTGTTCTATCTGTGGGCAGAGGTGCCAATACAAAAAGGCAATTTGGGGGTTGGGGGGGGGGGGGAAATGAACAGCCCAACCATCTTAAAAATGTTTTCACGTGTGTAATAACAATAACAACAAAGTGTTGAATAGCAAATAAATATAATATTTGAAATGTTTTAGGGAGGTACTTCAGTTTTAATTCACCCCAAACAAAGGAAATTCCGGGAGTGTGATATTGTATTGAGGTTATGGGTTGGGGTTAGGGTTAGTTAGTCAGTGTCTCTGAGGCGGTCAGGGCCGACAAAGGTCAGTTTCATTTTCTTGCCAGGTTACGCGGTCTCTTGCTACTGTCTCACCAAATTTTAACTTCAGTGTTCATTTCAAACCACAATACCTCTAACATATTACATTCCTGGGAACTCCTGGATTTTTTTTTTGGGTGAATTAAAATAGAAGTCCCGGGAGTTAAGATGCCTCCTATCTTTACGTATACTTTTTTGTATGAGTGTGGGAAAGAGGAGGAAAAAAAAAAGGGGGGGGGGGGGGGTCACTAAGGGGCCTAAATCCCAGGCTTCGGCACCCTTGTCTACTGCAGTTTATTTCTTGGTCAGGAATAACTGGTGTCAGTGTGTCTTTCAGAAAGATCTAATGTTACAGAGTATGTTCACATTCAGCACTGTAGTTTTTAAACTGGAGTAACGTAATTATGATTGTTAGTATTGTTCGGTTTAGTCTGCCCAATTTAGTATTTCTGAGTTTGTCTTATTTATTTGGTAAAGTAAGTATTCTGTAGTTTGTCTTGTTTATTTGGTAAAGTAAGTATTCTGTAGTTTGTCTTGTTTATTTGGTTGTTGGTATTGTCTTATTTAGTCTCTCAGGTTAACTATTCTGCATTTTAGTTTGTTTATTTAATAAAGATAGTATTCTGCACTTTGTCTTGTTTATTTGGTTGTTGGCATTGTTCCATTTAGTTTCTAAGTGGAGTTAAGTCAAGAATTAATATCACAGCACTCAAGGCATTCCCATGCATGCTCCGTCCTTATCTTCAGCAGCCAGTGCAGATTTCAGATACCGATGGTACGTGTCACAATCTGGTTAAATGTTGGTCTTGCTTTTTCTCTGAGTGTATTGAGGCGGCCAGACCCTCTGGTTACACCCAGATGCCTCATTCTCTCCAGGCCATAATAATCTTCTATCTTTACTTATTCGTTGCTTGTGCCCAAAGGGCCTTGACCACATCTGCCTTGTCATATATCAATTCATCACCCAGTGGTGCAGATCCAGCCTATCTATCTGTCTTTTCATTACCCACTACGCTGGCATAGCCTGGAGAAAAGATCCAAAGTATGCTCACTATCTGTGGCCTTTCCAGTTAAGCTAGCCACTCTGCTTGAAGCATCCCTGTCTTCACCTTTCCAACATGCTTTCAGAGTCTGCTACAATTACGACATGTGTATGCATCTTGTTCTCTAGCCACCGGAGAGCCGCAGTTACCGCTTCCACCTCTATTTTCATGCTAGATGTTGTGGTGTCATATGCTAGGCTGTCTTGCACTAAAGATTGTCCTTTTGCTACGAACCCCCAGGCACTTCGCTTTCCCCTCAACACCGAACCATCTGTATAGATAATCAGATCACCTGGGCGTGAATTGTTGTGAATCAACTGTTGGACTTCTACCTTCTTAGCACCGGCTGACCACTCTCTGCACACCTGGCCCAGTGTGATCATAACCTTACACAGGTTAGACATTTCTGCTGGTACTCTGACCCACTCCTCTTCTCGCCAAATGTTCTCCAGCATGCATACTTGTCTTATTAGGTCTTCTGCTTGAGCCATCCACGATGTCCCCTTTTCAGCCTCTGACCCTTACCTGCAGCCAAAGCATCATACAGAGGGTGTTCCCTGTCTGCAGCTACTCTGAGGTATGACTTAGCCTGCAGACCTTTAGCTTTCTGCAATAGTCGACAATGCAAGGATGTATCGCATGTACACAATCAGGGTCTTTAGTCTCTCTGGTTATTTTGCATTTTGTTTTGTTTATTTGATAAAGATAGTATTCTGAAATTTGTTCTGTTTATTTAGTAAATTTTTATCAAATAGTATGTCTTGTTTATTTGGCTGTTGATATTGTAGTCTGGTTTAGCAATCTGCAGTTTGTCATATTTATTTGGTAAAGTCAGTATTATGTTGATTGTTTTGTTTATTTCATAGTTAGTATCGTCCTGTTTAGTTTGTCTGGCTCTGTGTAGCTAGTATTCTGTAGTGTGTTTTATTTATTTGATAATGTTGGTATTTTATATACTATTAGGAAAGTAAGTCTGGTTTAAAAAAAAAAAAAACTGGTTCTGATGTAGTATTAATCTATCTTGCTTGGTATAAATAGTTATTCTATAGTTTTGTTTCTGCTTTGTTTGATATGGTCTACCTTATAGTTAGTATTGTAAGTCTGTGTTATAGTTCATATAGTAGTCTGCCTTGTCTGGGGTATATGCTACTTATATTCTGTCTCGTATGCAGTAGCTAGTATTGTATAGTCTGTCTTGCTTGGGATAGTAATGTATAATCTGTTTTGTCTAGGTTAGTTATTATTGTATAGTCTGTCTTG